GGTTTGGGGGAAGATAACTTCCCCCCACTCCTGGACTCACCAAACATCAAGCTGTGGTGATAACAGGACTCAAACCCGGCGCCGTACCAGTCAGAAAACACCAGTACCAGCTACTGCTGGAGGCCCGAGTTGGCATCTTGCCACATATAAATAGGCTACGACAGGGGGGCATCCTGACTGAATGCCAGTCAGCCTGGAACACATGGATCCAGCCAGTTAAGAAGGAAGGGGGACCGGACTACAGGCCTGTGCAGAACCTCAGACTGGTCAACCAAGCAGCCGTAACTCTACACCCCACAGTTCCTAACCCCTACACCTTGCTCAGCCTCCTCCCACGGTGTGCTAAGATATATACTTGCCTAGATCTGAAGGACGCATCCTTTTTGTATCCACTTTGCTCCAGTATCTCAACCCATTTTTGCTTTTGAATGGGAGGATCCAGCAGGGGGCGCTAAACAGCAGCTCACTTGGACTCACCTCCACAAGGATTTAACAATTCCCCAGCCGTTTTCGGGAAGCCTTGGCTTCCGACCTGAACTCATTCCTGCCAGAACGGTTTAGATGCTGGCTGCTACAGTATGTGACGACTTGCTGTTGGCTGCTGAGAATGAAGAAGACTGTTGGGAAGGAACTAAGGCTTTGCTAGAGCCGTTGATGGAAGCAGGCTCCCGCGTCTCGAGGAAAAAGGCACAGATCTGCAATGAGGAGGTAAGATATTTGGGGTTTGTCCTGAGAAAGGGCACAAGACTGTTGGACCGGTCTAGGAAAGAAGTAATCTTGAGAATCCCACAACCAAAAACCTGAGGACAGGTCCGAGAATTTTTGGAAGCCACTGGGTTCTGTAGAATTTGGACCCCAGGATACTTTCAGATGGCCCAGCCCTTATATGAACCCCTAACAGGGCCAGAAGGGGATTCACTAAATTGGACTGAGAGGCAATAACAGGCCTTTGAAAAATTAAAATTGGCACCCACGTTGGGTCTGCCAGACCTTACTAAGCATTCACTCTTTGTGTAACTGAAAAGGACAAGGTGGCTATGGGGGTATTAATCCAGACTGTGGGGACATGGAACAGACCGGTGGCCTGTCTCTCAGCACGGCTGGACAACATTGCTACCAGCTGGCCTGGGTGCTTACGGGCGATTGCTCTGACGTTACCGGTCCAAGAAGCGACCAAGCTGACTTTGGGCCAAAACTTAACTGTAAAAGTCCCCCATGAGGTCAACGCTCTCCTACAAGGGGATCCGCACAAATGGTTGTCAAGGTCCCGGATTACCCAATACCAGGGACTTTTATGAGAGAAACCCCATGTTACTACTGAGCTCTGTCAGGCTACACCCCTTCCTGTGGGGAAAGGTGGACCTTCACATAATTGTGAAGCAATCCTGGAAGAAGTTCATCCTAGCAGACCTGACCTGAGAGACCAGCCAATCCCGCACTCAGACTGGGTCCCGCACGCCGATGGCCCCAGCCTGGTGAAACAAGGACAGTGGCTGTTGGGGTGCGCGGTAGTCACAGAGAAGACCATCGTCGAGGCTGGCTCTCTGCCATCCCACTGTTCTGCTCAACGGGCCGAGTTACGGGCTCCAATTCAGGCCCTCCAGTTGTCAAAAGGTAAGACATTTACAGTCCCTCCAGGTACGCTATTGCTACTATGCACGTGCCTGGGGTCCTATACAAGGAGAGCCGGCTCTTGACAGCTAACGGAAAAAACATTAAAAACAAGGAAGAAATCTTGACCCTACTAGGTGCTCTATGGGAACCTGAAAAAATAGCAGTGATACATTGCCGGGGTCACCAAAAAGAGGACAGCCCGCAGGTGTGGGGAAACTGGCTGGCAGACAGAGCCGCAAAACAAGTGGCTGAGGGATTTGGAGGCGCTGGGGGCGGGATTGTTAAGACTTTCATACTCCCGAGAGTGCCCAAGTTAACTTCAACTCTCCCTCTCCCACAACTCACCCGGCCCAAGACCAGCTGGCTGAAACAGAAAGGGCCACCAAGAATGAAAAGTGTTGGTGGGAACTGCCGGATGGCAGGTTGCTAGTTCCCAAGGCATTGGCCCCTGCATCAATGTCTCGGGTACAGCAGACTACCCACGTGGGGTGTGACAAAATGGGAAAATTAATTTGGAAATATTTCTTAATACCACAGCTTTCTTCCCTGTGTAAAATGGAATCCCAGAACAGTTCTGCTTGCTCACAGGTCAGTGCTACCCCCGGACATAAACAGAAAACTCCAGGAATACAGTTAAAGGGCACTCTGCCCTTTGAACATTTAGAAGTGGACTTGACTGAGATGAAACCCTACCAACACTATCCTTATTTACTGGTCATGGTATGTACCTTCTCAGGATGGGTGGAGGCCTTCCCCCACCCATCTGAAAAAGCAAATGAAATGGCTCACTGTCTGATTCGAGAAATAATCCCCAGATTTGGGTTCCCATCCAGAATAGGATCAGACAACGGCCCTGCTTTTGTAGCCGATTTAATTCAACAGGTATGTAAAGCTCTAAATGTCAAATAAAAATTACATACAACATATTGGTCCCAGAGTTCCAGAATGGTGGCGAGAACTAACTGAACCCTAAAAGAAACACATTCAAAATGTATCATAGAGATTGACTGTTCATGGATGGACTTACTTCCAGTGGCCTTGCTCAAATGAAGAGTGAACCCACGTTGCCATGGTTATTCTTCTTATGAAATTGTCTATGGGAAACTCCCTCCCATAGTAAGACAGGTGTTGGCAGATTTGCCAACAGGTAAGAGGAGATGGGATTTCACAGCAAATGGAACAATTAGGTGAGATAATAAACCAGGGAACTAAGTTTGTCCAAGAAAGGGTGCCGTTCCCCCTTGAGAAACAGATTCCTGAGATATTATGATTAAAGTAGAAGCTCTAATTAACTTCATGAAACCAGCCCTCCTGGACAATGCAAAGGCGATCCAAGCTTTAAATGAAGAACAAATACAAATGAGAAAGGCAATAATTCAAAATCAGGTGGCTTTAGAAATACTTAAACGGCCGCTCAAGGAGGGACCTGTGAAAAAGTTGAATGTTGTGTATGTTTATGTTTATGTATGTGTATGTAATGTTTATCTGGATGTATCAGCCGCTCTAGAGGACATGAAAAACCAGGTAAAAGCTATGTCTAATGATAATATTCCTTTTAGGACTTCTATTTTGTCGTGGATAAAGGGCAATTGGTGGAAAACTATATTGGCTGTTGTTATAGTGGCTCAGTTGATTTTGTTATGTGGACCTTGCATTCTCCAACATATTGTCAACTTTGTTTCACTGAGATTGAATTCATTCACCTAAATATATGCCAGAAGACCCAAGGTACAGTACATCCCTATGAATGATGCTCACACTGGAAGTTGAGAGCATCAAGAGAGGAGAATGAGGAAGGAAAGGAGCAGGTCGCCCTGACTAAACTGACTCTATTTTAAAAGGAAGGAAACTCCATCTTGCACTCAGCAAACTTTGGTCTACAAATCTGGTAACCATGGAGATAACATACCAACAGCCAAGGAAGCCTCCCCAACGGATAAACACCAGACCAGGCTGACCTCTTACCTAGACTCCCCAGAGCCAAAAAGAATGCAATAATCTTCTATGTAATCAATCGTCTTCTGTAGTTCTAATAATGCCCACATCTGCATGACTAGATGACCTTTAGAATATGAATCATGACTGTAACCTGTTTGTATCTCTTCCTAACATTTTGCAGAGCAGACTCGGGAAATCTGGGGATGTGGACTTGGGCATGTACACTTCGGGTATAAAAGGTTGTCACAAAGATCGGTCGGGGTCCCTGGCTAAGGAGGAAACTCTGCCTGGGACTCGCCGGTGTCATAAACTGCACTCCACTATCCGCACTGCCCTTCTGAGTGAGTTTTGCTTCCCAGGGCGTTTGGCTATAACAATACCTCATGATGTCAACATTTCTTCCATCACTTGTTAAGACAACTTCATCTTGGGGTTTCCCTGGTGGTTTAGTAGTTAGGACTTCAAGCTTCCAATGTAGGGGACATGGATTCAATCCTGGTCAGGGAACTAAGATACTGCAAGCCTTGAGGTGTGGCCAAAACAAAACAAAACCAAAAAAAAAGAAAATTCGCCTTTGTCATAAGCAAGTGGATTTCCAGTCATAGATAACCATCAGCCAACAGGGAAGTAGGTCCTAAAAAGATGGAGAGGGGGAGGAAACGGGGCTCAAGAGGGAGACTGAGGGCCCTCCGTTTGGTTTGGCCCTTTTACAGCACTGATTTGTTTGATCCTTTTTAAAATTTTTACTTATTTTGGCCACTTGGTGGTGTGATATCTCAGCTCCCCGACCAGGGATCGAACTCGCGATGCCTGCAGTGGAAGCGGGGAGTCTTAGCCACTGGATCGCCAGGGAAGTCCCTCCATCAAGCACAGATTTTAAAACCCTCCCTTTTCTAGGGAAGTGCTTGTCCTCTTCTGGGGGCACAGAGCGGCGCCGCTGGCTTCCAAGCCCGGGAACTTCCTAGCGGGCCGGGGGACGGGGTAGGTTGGGAGGGGGCGGGGACAGGCAGAGCCAGAGGCTGGGAGACCGGATGGACCGCAGCAGGTCCGGCTGCCTCCAGGGTCTGGCGGGAAGGTTCTACCGGAGATGCAAATCTGCTGAGGGTGGGGTCAGTTCCTGGGAGGATTCCACCGGAGCAGGCTAGGGTGCAGGTCTGGGGATTCCCTTCCGGCTTGCCTCTACCTCCTTCCCCCAACACCGTCCACGGTGAGGCGTGGGGATCAGGAAGCAGGTACGAAGTGCCCGGGCAGGATAAGAACTTGGTCTTGATCCTTCCTGCGGGGGGAAAGGAGGGGCTAGTTATTTTTTTTTATTTATTAATGTCAGTATTCTTTTTTTTTTTTTACAGTTCCATTCCTTCCGCCTGCCACCCTGCAAACCTCTGGGACTGGAATGAACGCTTGCCACCAGCAGTCTAGACCCGTCTAGGAGCCGGTTGTCGGGGGAAATGGTAATTTTCCCGGGTTGGGACAAGGATCCACGCCCAGGGCGGGGCCGGGTCGCCTTCCGAGGAGTTGGGAGCAGCTGCCTGCAAAAAGCCGGACTCTTTCCGGCTCGGGAGGAAAGGGGAAGCCACGAGGATCCCTAAGTGCGCCCTTCACGTTGCCCCAGAGAGAAGGGGTCTCCCATCCCTGGGCTGCAACCTTGCAGGACGCCTCTGTCGGTCCCCCGGCGCCCACTGTGTTTGCCCGCTCTGTGTTATTTGAATCCACAAATGTGTCGGGGGCGGGGGTTGGGGGAGGTGGGGTGTCTGTTGTGCTGAGGGTGAGCCGCAAAATTCTAGGGACAGACTGAGAGGATGCCCACTGGGTTCACTGCTCCTGGAGACAGGGCTTCGGGGTTTGAGCTGGGTCAGATTGGCACATTCTTTTTTGCCTGGGTGCTGTGACCATCCTTCATTTCAATTCAGTTCAGTCCCTCAGTCCTGTCTGACTCTGTGCGACACCATGGGCTGCAGCACACCAGGCCTCCCTGTCCATCACCAACTCCCGGAGTTACTCAGACTCATGTCCGTTGAGTCAGTGATGCCATCCAACCATCTCATCCTCTGTCTTCTCCTTCTCCTCCCTCCTTCAATCTTTCCCTGCATCAAGGTCTTTTCAGATGAGTCATTTCTTCCCATCAAGTGGCCAAAGTTTTGGAGTTTCAGCTTCAGCATCAGTTCTTCCACTGAATATTCAGGACTGATTTCCTTTAGGATGAACTGGTTGGATCTCCTTGCAGTCCAAGGGACTCTCAAGAGTCTTCTCCAACACCACAGTTCAAAAGCATCAATTCTTCGGTGCTCAGCTTTCTTTATGGTCCAACTCTCACATCCATACATGACTACTGGAAAAACCATAGTCTTGGCTAGACAGACCTTTGTTGGCAAAGTAACGTCTCTGTTTTTTAATATGCTGTCTAGGTTGGTCATAACTTTTCTTCCAAGGAGCAAGTGTGTTTTAATTTCATGGCTGCAGTCACCATCTGCAGTGATTCGGGAGCCCAAAAAATAGAAGTCTGTCACTGTTTCCACTGTTTCCCCATCTATTTGACATGAAGTGATGGGACCAGATGCCATGATCTTAGTTTTCTGAATGTTGAGCTTTAAGCCAACTTTTTCACTCTCCTCTTTCACTTTCATCAAGAGGCTCTTTAGTTCTTCACATTCTGCCATAAGTGTGGTGTCATCTGCATATCTAAGGTCGTTGATATTTCTCCCGGCAATCTTGATTCCAGCTTGTGCTTCACCCAGCCTGGCGTTTCTCATGATGTACTCTGCATGTAAGTTAAATAAGCAGGGTGACAATATACAGCCTTGACGTACTCCTTTTCCTATTTGGAATCAGTTATTGTTCCATGTCCAGTTCTAAGTGTTGCTTCTTGCCCTGCATACAGATTTCTCAGGAAGCAGGTCAGGTGGTCTGGTACGCCATCCTAAAGGGTGCTTATAAAAGGCCAAGTTGAAGGGAAAGTGACAGGGAGGTGTCAGGATCAAACCCAGGGGTCCGAACAAGTTACATGCTTGTCACTGATGTTTTCCAGTGTCTTTGGGTTCCCGGAAGCTCTGGACACCGGAAGGGCTGTGTTTCATCTGCCTTTTGTCGATGTTTTTCTTTTTTTTATGTTTATTGATTTGGCTGTGCCAGGTGTTAGTTGCCACCCCTGGGATCGTTAGTTGCAGCATGTGGGATCTAGTTCCCTGACCAGGGATGGAACTCGGGCACCTGCATTGGGAGTCTGGAGTCTTAGCCACTAGACCACCAGGGAAGTCCCATGTGGATGTTCTTCTTCTACCTGTTTACGCGAATGGACCCAGAATTATGCATTCTTTTTTGTTCTTCCCACACCCACACCCACCCCACCCCGCTGCCATTTCCCCAAACTAACATGGCTGAGGTCACCAGGGAGAAAGCTAGAGCCGTTTGTATCTGTTTATTTCTAGGAGGGAGATGGAGGAACCTGCCAAGTAAAGGAAGAGAGGTGGTCAGTGATAGGCTTGAGGAAAGAGTGGGGTTCAAGGTAATGTAAGTGAAGTCCTGCTTAGAAAAGCTCAGGCTGGGAAATGTGCAAAGAGGCTATTATTGTCAGGTTTGACTGTTTCCTTAGAAACAAAAAGGTCAAGATACAGATGTGGAACATTCTGTCCCAAATCTCTTGAGTTGCAAATTGACCCTGGTTCTTTCTCCACTTGACTTAGATTCCCCCAGGCAAGAACGGAATTTACTTTCTTATTGATATGATGTCAGATATCAAATTGCAACCGTTTGTTTTTTTTTTTCTATTGAGATATAGTTGGTTTACAATGTTAGCTTCTGATGTACAGTATGCCTTTTCAAAACTGTATAAATCATACTCCATTTATAGTTGTTATAAAATACTCACAGTATTCCTTGTGCTATACAATAATATCCTTGAAGCTTCTTTATTTTATGTGTAAGTAAGTAAGTGAAGTCGCTCAGTTGTGTCCGACTCTTTGCAACCCCATGGACTGTAGCCCACCAGGCTTCTCTGTCCTTGGGATTCTCCAGGCAAGAATACTGGAGTGGGTTACCATTTCCTTCTCCAGGGGATCTTCCCGACCCAGGAATCGAACCCTGGTTTCCTTCATTGCAGGCAGACACTTTAACCTCTGAGCCACCAGGGAAGCTCATTTTATGCATAGTAGCTGGTATCTCTTAATCCTCTACCCTTATCTTGTTCCTCCCCATTCCCTTTCCACAATGGTAACCACTAGTTTGGTCTGTATCTGTGAGTCTGTTTCTTTCTTCTTATATTCATTGGTTTGTTTTATTATTATTATTATTGGCTGTGCTGGGTCTTCGTTGCTATGCCGGCTTCTCTCTAGTTGCAGGGAGCAGGCTGCTCATTGTGGTGGCTTCTCCTTGCAGAGCACGGGCTCTAGGGCACACGGGCTTCAGTAGTTGCACTTTCCTGGCTCTAGAGCACAGGCTTAATAGTTATGGTGCAGGGGCTTTGTTGTTCCGTGGGCATGTGGGATCTTCCCATCCCAGAGATTGAACCCGTATCTCTTGCATTGGCAGGCGGATCATTTACTGCCGACCTACCAGCTCAGTTCAGTCCCTCAGTCGTGTCCAACTCTTTGCGACCCCATGGACTGCAGCACGCCAGGCCTCCCTGTCCATCACCAACTCCCGCAGTTTACTCAAACTCACATCCATTGAGTCAGTGATGCTATCCAACCATCTCATCCTCTGTCATCCCCTTCTCCTCCCGCCTTCAATCTTTCCCAGCATCATGGTCTTTTCCAATGAGTCAGTTCTTCACATCAGGTGGCCAAAGTATTGGAGCTTCAGCTTTAGCATCAGTCCTTCCAATGAATATTCAGGACTGATTTCCTTTAGGATGGACTGGTTGGATCTCCTTGCAGTCCAAGGGGCTCTCAAGAGTCTTCTCCAACACCACAGCTCAAAGGCATCAGTTCTTTGGCACTCAGCTTTCTTTATAGTCCAACTCTCACATCCATACATGACTACTGGAAAAACCATAGCTTTGGCTAGATGGACCTTTGTTGGTAAAGTAATGTCTCTGCTTTTCAATGTGCATCTGTCACTGTTTCCGTTGTTTCCCCATCTATTCTCCATGAAGTGATGGGACCAGATGCCATGACCTTAGTTTTTTGAATGTTGAGTTTTAAGCCAACTTTTTCACTCTCCTTTTTCACCTTCATCGAGAGGCTTTTTAGTTCCTCTTCACTTTCTGCCATAAAGGTGGTGTCATCTGCATATCTGAGGTTATTGATATTTCACCCAGCAATCTTGATTCCAGCTTGTGCTTCAATCCAGCCCAGCATTTCTCATGATGTACTCTGCATATAAGTTAAATAAGCAGTGACAATATACAGCCATGTCGTACGCCTTTCCTAATTTAGTACCAGTCCATTGTTCTTGTTCCATGTCCGGTTCTAATGGTTGCTTCGTGACCTGCATACAGATTTCTCAGGAGGCAGGTCAGGTGGTCTGTAGTCCCATCTCTTGAAGAATTTTCCACAATTTGTTGTGATCCACACAGCTCGAGGCTTTGATGTAGTCAATGATTCAGAAGTAGATGTTTTTCTCAAATTCTTTTGCTTTTTGGTGATCCAAAAAGCATGTTGGATGTTGGAAATTTGATCTCTGGTTTCTCTGCCTTTTCTAAATCCAGCTTGAACATCTGGAAGTTCTCAGTTCACTGTATTGTTGAAGCCTTGCTTGAAGAATTTTGAGCATTACTTTGCTAGCGTGTGAGATGAGTGCAATTGTGTGGTAGTTTGAACTGTCTTTGGCATTGCCTTTCTTTGGGATTGGAATGAAAACTGACCTTTTCCAGTCGTTTGGCCACTGTTGAGTTTTCCAAATTTGCTGACATATTGAGTGCAACACTTTCACAGTATCATCTTTTAGGATTTGAAATAGCTCAACTGGAATTCCATCACCTACACTAGCTTTATTTATAGTGATGCTTCCTAAGGCCCACTTGACTTCACATTCCCGGATGTTTGGCTCTGAGTGATCACACCATTGTGATTATCTGGGTCATTTTTGTATAGTAAGATCTTTCTGTATAGTAAGATCTTTTGTATGTAAGATCTTTTTTGTACAGTTCTTCTGTGTATTCTTGCCACCTCCTCTTAATATCTTCTGCTTCTGTTAGGTCCGTACCATTTCTGTCCTTTATTGTGCCCATCTTTGCATGAAATGTTCCTTTGGTATCTCTTATTTTCTTGAAGAGATCTCTAGTCTTTCCCATTCTACTGTTTTCCTCTGTTTCTTTGCACTGATCACTGAGGAAGGCTTTCTTATCTCTCCTTGCTCTTAGGAACTCTGCATTCAGATGGGTGTATCTTTCGTTTTCTCCTTTGCCTTTTCCTTCTCTTTTTTGCTCAGCTGTTTGTAAGGCCTCCTCAGACAACCATTCTGCCTTTTTGCATTTCTTTTTCTTGGGAATGCTTTTGATCACAGCCTCCTATACAATGTTACAAACCTCCATCCATAGTTCAGCTACCAGGGAAGCCCTGATTTTTTTTTTTTTTTTTTTTTTTTGATTTCACATATAAGTGATAAATGGTATACGTTTTTCTCTGACTGACTAATTTCACCTAGCATAATACCCTCCAAGTCCATCCATGTTGTTGCAAATGGCAGCTTTTCTTTCTTTTTATGGCTACATAATAGTCCATTCTTTTGCTGTTATAAATAACCTTCCATTTAAATAATTATGTGCATATGTCATTTGGGGTTTGGGCCAGGGTATTTTTGGAGTATAATCTCATGAATGCAAATGCCAGATCACGGGATGTCTGTATATAAAATTTTGGTAAATTGGGCCTAATGTGCCTTCATATTAGAGGGGGGCAAATTTATAGATGGGCTTCCCAGGTGGCTCAGTGGTAAAGAACCCACCTGCCAATCCAGGAGACATGGATTTGATCCCTGTGTCAAGAAGATCCCCTGGAGGAGGAAATGGCAACCCACTCCAGTATTCTTGCCTGGGAAATCCCATGGACAGAGGAGCCTGGTGGGCTACAGTGGGGTCACAAAAGAGTCAGACACGACTGAGCGACTAAACCACCTCCACCACCCAAATCTAGAGACAGCTTGCGATGACCTCTCCTTGGCCTGTAGACACATCACTCCAGTCTGTACATCTGTGTACATCTGTACACGGATGACGTGTATCTTCCCCTTGTGCATCTGTGTTCAGATTTCTCCTTCTTGTGAAGACAACCAGTCAGTGGATTAGCACTCATCCTACTCTCGTGTGACCTCACCTTAACTCATTTCCACCTTCAAAAGTCCTCTTTCCAAATCTGGTCAGTTTCACAAGTCTGGGGGTGGGGTGGGGTGGGGGTGGATTTTAATATACCTTAGGGCAGGGACTGATGCTGAAGCTGAAACTCCAATACTTTGGGCACCTGATGTGAAGAGCTGACTCATTTGAAAAGACCCTGATTCTGGGAAAGATTGAAGGCAGGAGGAGAAGGGGATGACAGAGGATGAGATGGTTGGATCGCGTCACCCACTCATTGGACATGAGTTTGAGTAAACTCTGGGAGTTGGTGATGGACAGGGAGGCCTGGCGTGCTATGGTTCATGGGGTCACAAAGAGTCAGACACGACTGAGCAACTGAACTGACCTGAACTGAAGGTGGGTACTCCCCAAGGAGTTCTGATGTGAATAACTGACTCATTGGAAAAGTCCCTGATGCTGGGAAAGATTGAGGGCAGGAGGAGAAGGGGGGTCAAATGATGAGATGGCCGGATGGCATCACCAGTGCAATGGACATGGACCTGGGCAAACTCCAGGAGATGGTGAAGGACAGAGCAGCCTGGCATGCTGCAGTCCATGGGGTAGCAAAGAGTCAGACTCGCCTGGGTGGCTGAATAACAACGGGGAGGGGACAGGATTCAACTTGATGACAGTCCATACCCCACTGAGCCAAAATGGGTGTGTTGTTCAGGACTCGATGACCTTTGAAGATGTGGCTGTGAACTTCACCTGGGAGGAGTGGGCCCTGCTGGACGCCACACAGAGGCAGCTCTACAGAGATGTGATCCTGGAGACCTGTGGTCACCTGGCCTGTGTGGGTAAGGAGGTCCCTTGTTCCTGCGCTTGGTGACGGAAGGGTCTCACATGCATCAGGCCCCTCCTGTGTTCCAGAGACTCAACCACTGCCCCCAGGCGGCAGACATAGTTTCCCCCGTGACATTGGAAGTCTATCCTTTGCTTTCCTTTTTTTAAAAAAAAAAAATTTATTTGGCTGTGAGGGGTCTTAGTTGCAGCACACAAGAGCTTCATTGCATCATGCCAGATCTTTCGTTCTTTGGTTGCAGAGCACGGACTCTCTATTTGTCATCTGGGCTTCGGTAGTTGGGGCGCCCAGCCTTCGTTCCTCCCCAGCATGTAGGATCTTAGTTCCCCAACCAGGGATCGAACCTGTGTCTCCTGCATTGCAAGGCGGATTCTTAACCACTGGACCACCAGGGCAGTCCCAGGAGTGGTTTCTTTATAAGTAAGAGGTTGGGGTGGGCAGGGGGAATGTCCTGAAACTAGATGGAGGTGATGGTTGTAAACATGGTACCGAATGCCAGAGCTGTACACTTTGGTTAATTTTATGCGGTGTAAATTTCATCTCCGTTTTTTGTTGTTTTGTTTTTAATTCATTTCGTCTAAGAGGAAAGCTGAGGCTCATGAATGTATGAGCTGCTTCGGGTATATAGAGAGTGTCGTGGGTTTCATCCATCTTCGCAGATGTTCCTTTCTATCCCCCTTTAGGAAGACCTGTCCCCTCTGCCTTAGTCCAGGCTGATATGCTGAAATACCATACACCAGGTAGCCTAGACAACAGCTGGAGGCTAGACATTCTGGAGGCTGAGAAGTCCAAGATCAAGATGCCGGCAGGTTCAGTTCCTGGGAGGGCCCCCTTCCTGGCTTGCAGACGGCCGCCTTCTCACACGGCAAAGAGGGAGAGAACCCTGGTGTCTCCTCCTCTTCTTCTGAGAACAGTAACCCCATCTTTGGGTCCCATCCCACCCTCATGAGCTCATCTGAACCTAATTACCTCATGAGGTTCCCACCTGCAAATAGCATCCTGTTGTGGGGTTGGGGTTTCAACATGGATTTGTGGTGGTTGTTGTTTAGTCCCTAAGTCGTGTCCAAGTTTTTGCGACCCTGTGGACGGTAGCCCACCAGACTCCTCTGTCCATGGGATTTCCCTGGCAAGAATACAGGAGTGGGTTGCCATTTCCTTTTTCGGGACACCTTCCGCAACCCAGGGATGGAACCCTCATCTCTTTAGTCTCCCGAATTGGCAAAGGGGTTCTTTATCACTAGCGCCACCATTGTAGTGGGGGGGCATCACAAATTCAGCCCACAGCAGATTCTTTGTCCAGTTTGTCCTGATAGTTGGAGCTCGGATTGGAAAAGAATTTCCAGACACGGAGTATTTCAGAAAGGAGTGAGTTTATAAGAACAGAGATAATGAGGGCGCTGTGAGCACAGCCGGTGACCTCCTGGCAGACCAGAGAGTGTTGATGCTTTTTGTGAGTTAGTAGCCAATTTTGATAGCCTCGAGACAAAGAAAATTCTTGCTGGAAGGGTGGCATTAGGTGATTGGTTAAGGTACTATAGAGTGAGTACCCGGGTAGGCATTTTTACCTAATGTGGGGTCAGGGAGCTGGCCAGTGAGGATGGGAGTGGGGCTCATGACAACGGTTGCTATGGGGCTCAGTCAGTTCCAGAGGTGACCTTGATGCTGGGCTCTGCATCTGTGGCCTTGGTACAGAGCCTCACACCTGTGATCTTGGTATAGGTTTGCATTATTCTCTCACGCTTGGCATTCATGATTGTACTTTCAATCTCACAGGATCATATTTACATATCTGGCTGCACCGGGTCTTAGTTGCAGCAGGCAAGATCTTAAGCTGCGGCACGTGGGATCTAGTTCCCTCACCAGGGGTTGCCGGTGAGGGAGTCTTGGCCACTGGACCACTGGAACTTCCGGGAAGTTCCCAGAACCATTTCTTAGCATCTTGCTGTGTGTATTGAACCTCGATCTTAACCATAGTCAAACTTCTCATACATCCCAAATTCCAATATCTCTCTCTGCCTCTCTGCCTGCCTCCTCTTGCTCTCTCCCTTCTCCCATTTTCCTTACAGAGGGAACATCTGAAAAGAGATCCACGGGCATTCGCCTGCTTTCTCCTCCACTTTTCCTTTCCACAAAGACCCGACTTTTGCACTGCTTCATTTCAGATTGGGCGACTCGACATCAAACCAAAGACTCGACCCCTTGGCAGAACAACCTTGCTAAAAGGACGTTTCAGGAAGTGAACAGAGCACATCTGGCAAGCAGCAGTTCCCGACTCTCCGATCTCAGAGAAGACTGGATGTCCCGTAGAATAGAGGTGCCGGGCAAACAGAGAGGGCGAACACTGAAACAAGTTGCAGCTGCCCATGAGAAAGATGCCTCTCCCATTGGATTCTGGGAATATCCCCAAATGAGGGACATCTCTAACCCTGGCCAGAAGATTTTGCCATCACAGGGAGATTCCACAAGAAAACATAACCCAAGATGTAACTCAGACATCTTGAAACAAATTCTCCTCTTACACAGTAATCAAAAAATCTTTACAAACAACGAAGATGACCGAGTCAAGTGGCAGGAAATGCCATGGATTTCACATGCGAGAACTCAGACAGAGCTGAAATCAAAGGCACAGATGGATCATCAGAATGACCTGCTTCATTTGCAGGCTGAAATGTACATGGGCGTGAGCATCCACAAATACTGTCCACGTGGGAAAGCCTTAGGGGGAGACATCTCCCTTAGGACACGAGGGATGCCCCTGAAAGAGAAACCTCGTCATTCTCATCAGTGTGAAAACACCTTCCTAAATAACTCTCTCCCTGCTGGGCAGACGCAACCCTATGAGGCAGAGACAAATAATGAGAATAATCAAAGTGGGAAGACATTTGTCCCTGTTCAGAGTTCCGATTCGCACAGGAGAACTTCGATGGGAGTGAAAAGCTATAAGTGCAGGGACTGTAGGAAGGCCTTCGTGTATCAATCGTCCCTTAAGAAACACATGGAAATTCACACAGGAGAGAAGCCCTATGCATGTGAGAATTGTGGGAAAACCTTCAGATATATCTTACACCTTAATAAACATATGAGAAATCACAACCTGAAGACCTTTGAATGTCTGGAATGTGGGAAAAGCTTCAACAAGTCCTCAAAGCTTAAGGAACATGTTAGGATTCACACTGGAGAGAAACCCTATAAATGTCAGGAATGTGGGAAAACCTTCAATAAGTCCACAAAGCTTAAGGAACATAGTAGGATTCACACTGGAGAGAAACCCTATAAATGTCAGGAATGTGGGAAAACCTTCAATAAGTCCACAAAGCTTAAGGAACATAGTAGGATTCACACTGGAGAGAAACCCTATAAATGTCAGGAATGTGGGAAAAGCTATGCTAATTCTTCAAGTCTTAAAACCCACCTGAAGAGGGTCTGCGGATGAAAGGAATGGGGAGAAGCCTTCATTCATTTTCTCAAAGTACTGAGTGCAGAAGGAGGACGTGATAGAAGGGAGCTCAGTGAATGAACAAAGATGGTAACGTCTTCTCTGAACTCTCAGATCTTACAGAAATGTAAGATTTCACACTTTTATTTTTTTAAGGGGAATATGGGGAAGCCCTCAGTGTTTCAAATGTACAGTTCCTGTAAAGACACACTGCAGGACTTCCCTGGCAGTCCAGTGGGTAAGACACCACCCTCCCACTGCAGAGGTTTGATCCCTGGTGGGACAGCTAAGATCCCACATGCCATGTAGCAGGGCCAAAAAAGTAAAGAATAAAACTCACACTGCCGAGGCATCATATGGGATTAAGGAATGTGGGCACACCTTACATACTCATCCCTCACTTTACACATGAGACCAAACCCTGGAGAGAGACCTCTCATCAGTAATAGATTTGAGAAAGCCTTTATTTCCCTCTCTTCACATGCAGGGCACAAATGAGTCTTAAGCTCAGTCGTGTCTGACTCTGCGACCCCCATGGACTGTAGCCCTCCAGGCTCCTCTGTCCATGGAATCATCCAGGCAAGAGTACTGGAATAGGTTGTCATTTCCTTCTCAAGGGGATCTTCCCAACCCAGGGATCAAACCTGCGTCTCCTGCGTTGCAGGCAGATTCTTTACCCGTGAGCCACCGGGGAAGCCCCTAATAGTAAGAGAGAAACAGGGTAGATGTTCTGATCACTAGCATTATCCATGTCTCTTCCTTCCATTACCAAAATTCTGTATTTGCCACCATTTCTAATAAAATCCCACAAGAATGCTGACTACCCCACTGTGGATCCTTTCAGCTCTGCCACGTGAGTTTTGAGCTGTAGGAGCTTCATAACATTTCACTGATGCGTCACTGCACCCGTGTGAATTACTGTTTGAGGTACGTTTAATTTAGACTCAGGTTTGCTGTGCTCCGTGATGCCATTTCTGTCCATTGATTTGACTGCATTATGGTCAGAGTATGTGATCTTTGTGGTACTGATAGGAGATACTTGTCTTGACTTTCATTTTGGTCTTGTGATGGGACCAGTTCTGTCATTGCCTGACCACATTCTTCTCATCTTCTTTGCTGAAGGGACGTAGATTTGTTTTTCCAGAGTTAGCACAGTTGGATTTTTTTTGGTGGGGGGGGCAGGGGAGCGCCACATAGCATGTTAGGTTTTAGTTCCCTGACCAGGAGTCGAACCCACGCCCCCTTCAGTGGAAGCATGAGTCTTAACCATGGGACCACCAGGGAAGTCCCTGTGGAATGTTTTTAAATGCATTTCTCAGGACTTTCCTGGTGGTCCCGTGGTTAAGACCGCACTTCCTCTGCAAGGCTCCTCGTCAGGGAACTAAGATCACACATGCCATGCAGCAAAAAAAAAAAAAAAAGAAAGAAATGCCTTTCTCAGATCTTCTCATATCTGATGGTGAATGGAGCTTATTGCCAGTAAGGAGGGAGGTGGTTTGGATTCCTGGAGGGCTGTTGGAAAGGAGAGAATGTTCTTCACTCTCTCTTAACCAAGTCCCCTGTTCTTTCCTTGGTTTCGCTCTGGAAATGGGATGATATTCCCTGAGTTAGCTCATGCAACTTGAGGATCATTGAAATGAAGGTCATGGTCCCGGTAACACGACCCTCAAATATAAATACACAATTTCTCACTCTTGTATTTGAATGGCATATTTGGGGATTTTCATGGCTTCAGTAGATTGCATGTCTACATTTATTCCATAAAGCAAAGCCTTAATTTGGTTAAGAAGCGTTTCAGGGGAGTTTTGTTGTTTGTTTGTTTGTTTTTAAGTAGAAGCTATTATTTATTTTTATTTTGTTTTTGGCCTTGCCACACCTGTTGCAGGATCTTAGTTCCCCAATCAGGGATTGAACTCCTGGCCCGGAACATCCCCAGCGATCCAGCTGGAAGACTGCACTTCCAATTCAGGGGGCATGGGTTCCATTCCTGGCCTGGTTGGGGAGCTCAGATCCCACATGCTGTAGCCAAAAAACCCTCCAGGCCCCCTGCAGTGGAAGCACAAAGCCTTACCACTGGACTGTGGGCAATTCTGGAGGAGGTTTTATAACTCAGAGTTAGAATGATAAAGTTAGTATGTAGCCAATTTTTTGTAATTCCTCTTGTGATTCAAGATGCTGTACATTTCTTTGGTATTGGGTGGGCTCGTCAGTATTTGAATGGTCAAGCTTCTTAAGAGTGTTTTAGACTCTCTTACTAATGACATTTTTACTCACTGAGCAAATTCATAATAAAATATTTGGGGCTTCCCTGGTGGTTCAGTGGTTAAGAATTGGCCTGCAAATGCAGGAGATGTAGGTTCGATCCCTGATCCTGGAGGATCCCACATGCCATGAAACGACTGAGCCCGTGCACCCCAACTACTGAGCCTGTGCTCTGGAGCCCGGGAGCTGCAACTCCGGAAGCCCCAGTGCCCTGGGGCCCACGCTGCACAACAAGGGAAGCCACTGCAGCTGGATTGCTAGAAGCCTGTGTCCGCAAATAGGGAAAAGCCCTCACAGCAACAAAGACCCAGCACAGCCAAAAATTAAAAAACTATTTTCAAAAATTAAAATAAAATAATGTTACTCTAAACATAGATTCTCAAAGTCTTGCAGTTTTGTCAATTCTTGTTTAATGTATTTGGAAACATGTTATTAGATGCATAAGAAATTGGGCATTTTCTTTATTAAAGGTGAGTTTTCTTTCTAGTCTATGTTTAACCATCTTTTGCCACAGTGATCTTTTTGTTTCTTCATACAGTAAGGGTGAAAGTTTATGTGCTTCTTACCATGAGCTAGTATTTGCATATACTAGCTCAGTTCAGTTCAGTTGCTCAGTTGTGTCCAACTCTTTGCGACCCCATGAACTGCAGCACACCAGGGCTCCCTGTCTATCACCAACTCCCAGAATCCACCCAAACTCATATCCGTTGAGTTGGTGATGCCATCCAACCATCTCATCCTCTGTCATCCTCTTCTCCTTCTGCCTTCAATCTTTCCCAACATCAGGGTCTCATCCTGTTTATTATGTACCACCACGCCTCTCATAAATGCTGTAACTTTTTTTTAATGAATGAGAAAACTAAAGCACTGAAGTTAAAATGGTTAATGTTAAGTGATGTCTTTTGAGTTTCAAAGCTACCAGTGTTTTCATCGTCAAGTTCAGGATTCAGAACGTGTTAGTTTTCTGTTGCTCCTATTGCTATTTATTTATGTAACTTTATTTTTTGACTGCAGTGTGCAGCATTGGGGATCTTAGTTCCCTGATCGGGTATCAAACCTGTGCCGCCTCCCGTAGAAGCACGGATTCTTAACCAGTGGACCACCAGGGAAGTCCCCAAATTAGAATTTTTAACACTGAGTTTAAGGAACACATCATGGCCCTTCTATGTACTTGACAAACATTAACTCGTTTAATGCTCACCGACAACCCTATGAAGTGGGTGCTATTAGTCCCATTTTTAGAGCAGAGGAAACACACACAGAGGCCAAGCAAGCTGCCCAAGGTCACACAGCCCCGCTGGGAGCGGGCGAAATTCTAACCCCGGTTCCTGCGCCAGACTAGGTGGGGAGACCTCCCTGTTGTCTGTCCTCCCCCATCCGAGTATGAGCTCTGGGAGGGGCATCTGGCTCACAGAGGCGTTTAGTGGAATAAAGAAGGGAGGAGTGGCTATCTTAGGATGGCCACTCATCCCTTAGTGACCGCCTGCGCCCTCCTGCCGTTCTCAGCTCGCGGAATCCTATTCATAGGTAAAACCGTATCCCTGGACTTCAAAGAAATCCTAGTGGCTTGGGCTGAGTCAGAACAGAGCAGAGCCCACTCACGGCGGGGCACGGGCGCCACCTGGCGGCGGAGTCCTACTAAAACAAAAGCCAGGAGACGGAAAGTTTGCTTTGGACGAAGTGAAATTAGCTGAAAGGGAGTTGATTGCAAGTTTGTGTGTGTGTGTGTGTGTGTGTGTGTGTGTGTGTGTGTGTGTGTGTGAGCCGGGTGTGTGTGTGTGTGTGTGTGTGTGTGTGTGTGTGTGAGCCGGGTCTTACCTATGACACACGGGATCTTTAGTTGCGGCATGCGAACTTAGTTTCGGAGTGTGGGGTCTACCCCAGCGGCCCCCCTGCCCCAGCAAGAGGAGGCAAGAGTGCTGGTTGCCTAACCAGGCCCCCCTGAACCCTGGGCCCCCTACATTGGGAGTAAAGAGTCCTAGCCACTAGACCACCAGGGACGTCCCTGAAATGCCACTTTTTACATTTCTGACTCACTGTTATATCCCCAGAGCCTAGCACCATGTGTGGCACGGAGTCGTGCATGCGTGCTCAGTTGCTGTGTCTGACTCTGACTGACCCCATGGACTCGGTAGCCCACCAGGCTCCTCTGTCCATGGAATTTTCCAGGTAAGAATACTGGAGTGAGTTGCCATTTCCTCCTCCAGGGGATCTTCCCCACCCAGGGATCAAATGCGTGTTTCCTGCCTTGCAAGTAGATTCTTTACCACTAAGCCACCTGGGAAACCCCTGGCACATAGTTAATACTCAGAACATATTTGTCAAATCAATGGAAAAAAGAGATGGAGGAGATGGGATTCCCCATTATAACATTAATTCAAAGGATCTGATTTGATAAGGTGTGAAGGAATTTTTCACCAAAAACATTAACTCTGTCCTATGCAGTAGACTGTAAAAATTAATAATTCAACATCTCCTGTTTCTTATGAATATCACCCAGAAGTGACTTCAACAGAAGTGTTTTCTAGGATGCCCTAAATTAGCAATTGTGGTCAGTTTCAGTGACTAGAAGGCTTTCGCCCTGATGGGTTGTCTTGAACATGTGCTGCCCTGCTATTAACATCCTGCGTGTAAACTGCATAAACACGGGTAAGCTTTCTCATCAGATCACAGATAGACCTTTTCTCTCTTCTCATATGCGTGATGGGAGATTAAATTCCAACTCTCCAATGGGTTGATTATTTTACAAACAAAACCAGTGAGCCCACGTTTGAGCTAAAATAACAAATGGTCCTAGGACTGAACTTCCAGAATGGCTGAGAGTGGAAGGTGGCGACCCCTGCCGGCAGCTCCGACTCACACAAGCGTGAGTGCCCTCCACAGGAAGTGATTTCAAAGATTGTTCTGTGTTCTTTTTTTTTTAATGATATTTGTTTATTTTTTTTAAAATTTTACTTATTTATTTATTTGCTGCGCTGGAGTCTTCGTTGCTTTGCACAGACTTTCTCTAGTTGCCACGAGCGGGGTCTACTCTTCAACGCGGTGCACAGCTTCTCATTAATGTTGCTTCCCTTGTTTCCGATCGTAGGCTCTGGGTGCTCAGGCTTCAGTAGTTGTGGCGAACGGTCTTAATTCCCTGGCAAGCATGTGGAATCGTTTCAGGTCAGGGATCGAACCCATGTCCCCTGCATTGGCAGGCGGATTCTTATCCACTACACCACCAGGGAAGTCCTGTGTTCTTAAACATTGTTATAAAGGCTGTGTGTTGAACTGCATTCATGATAACAAATGTGTGCTGGGTCCCTTATTTTTCTTTCAGACTTTCTTCCTGTTGTCACTAATTATATTCTTGATTATGTTTTGATTAGCACTAATTAATCAAAGACCTGAGGGGCAATTTGGATTTTTTTTTCTTCCTTGTGCAATTTTGAGGAAGCAAGGTTGACAGTGCTGCTTTCAGCCCTCTTAAGACATGGAGAATTCCAAAATAGAACCTTGAAATTTTTAAAGGTACCCCACAGAGATTCTGAGGTTGCTTGTTACTGCAACATAACCCAGCCTATCCTGACTGACTGATACAATTTCCAGTTCTCAGTAGAGCCTGAAATGTGGAAGACTCAAAAAAAAAAAAAAAAAAAAGTGAACGAATGAATGGCAGGGAATAGGAACAGGCTCAAACATTTCCCCCTGGGCCAGAGGTAGAAGAAACAGCCATGTCTCAAGCTTTCTCTCTCACACACAAATACACTCATAACCAGGCTGGGGTAAAAGTCAAACTCTGGCTTTTATTTCCTATGGTCACAGCTCACGCCAGCCCTGACATCTTTGCCCCCATTCTTCCCCCACGAGTCAGTACTGAGGACTCTTGAGGGGAACAAGGAACAAGGACCTACAGAGGCAGGGACATGAGATGCAAGGAGGGCCTGGGAGAGGGAGGTGAGGAGAGGGAGTTAGAAATGGGGAAGCTGAAACAGGAAGGGAAGTGATCATCAGAGAGGTCAGAGCAGAGATGAAAAGACAGACACGGGGACAAGACTGGGACACAGGGAATGGGAAACCCAGAGAACAGGAAATCCGGCAACCGAAAGGCAAGGGCGGGTCAGAAACAGAGAGGGAGACCAGGAAGCTGATGAGGGTGGGGCCGATAGGAAGAGACACAGAAACACAGGGAAAGGTTGATGGAGACAGGTGTGCAGGCAGCTCTCCCGGAGCTCGGAGCTCGGTGAGAAAGATGGAGAGTCCTAAGAGGCAGAGATCCAGAGAAGGCCCTGCGAGGAGCCAGGGGCGGGGTGGGGGCTGGGTGCCCTAGTAGTTGTTCCCGGAGTCCTTGCTGGTGGTGGACGCCTGGCCGGTGCTGGAGGCAGGGCCGGGGCTGGACCCGGGGCCTCCACTCGATTCTGACCCAGGGCCTTTGCTCGCCTCAAAGCTCTCGTGGTCTCTGCTGGACCCCACGTATCCAGTGGACCCCAGGTAGCTGCTAGAGTTGGGGGATCGGAAGGTCACGCGGCCCGGGGTGGAGCCTCGACTGGACATCAGTCCCCCCGTGGTGGCGCTGGTGGAGCCGAAGGTCACGTGGCCTGCGCTGGACTCCCCGAAGGTCACGTGGCCCACGTTGGAGCTGGTGGCGCGGCCGCCGCTGGACACCAGGATGCCGCTGGTCTTGTGGCTCATGATGGACCCGGGGGCTTGAGTGGGCCGCTGGGTCACCAGGCGCGAGCTGGAGCTGACCTTCGGGGTGCTGGAGGTCATGCTCGGGGTGCTCTCCACCTTGATGCCCTCGACCAGCTCCTTCAGGTGCTGCTCCTTCGACTGCTCCCGGGCCTCCAGCTGCCGGGGAAGTGAGTTAGGGCCCGCGGGAGAGGCCGCGCTCGCGCTCGCCCCCGCCCCCGGCACCGCCCGTCCCGCCACAGCCCGTCCCGCCACGCCAGGGCCCACTCCCACGCCACGCCCCGGCCGGCGTCCCGGCCCCGCCCCCGGGCCCGCTGGCGCACCGCCCCCTGCCCGCGCCCATCCTCACCGCCTTCACCACAGAGCTCAGTAGCTCCTCCTTGCTCAAAGGATAGTCGTCTTTGGCCTCAAAACCTGGGGGGTCCTCCCTGAAGTGGGGGAAAAGACAGGAAGGGACTCTAGTCCCTACTCTCGAAAGTTCGATGGCTCCTCATTGCAAGGTCCCGAGACCCTCGGCCACACGCAGGGGTCAGAGCGTCTTTTCCCCTGTCAGGTTCACCCAGGGTCCCATCGCCCATATTGTCCCCGGAGACCGTACGCCTCCTGGTTCCCCCAAAGCACCCGCTTCATCTTCTACCCACCCCCCAAGAGCCACACCCACCCTTTAGTCCAAGGAAGTGATAATGTCAGTCGCCAGGAACTCTTTGCGACCCCCTGGGCTGTAGCCTGCCAGGCTCCTCTGTCCATGGGATTTTCCAGGCAAGAATACTGGAGTGGGTTGCCATTTCCTTCTCCAGCGGATCTTCCCAACCCAAGGATCGAACCTGAGTCTGCTGCATTGCAGGCAGATTCTTTACTATCTGAGCCACCAGGGAAGCCCCCCTAGTCCAGGGAATCCCCCCAAAAAGCTGTCCCTTCCCACATCTCGCCTCCATCCCCAGGGCACGTCCTCCCCAGCCGCTCCCTCTGGCCCTCTGGCTCACAGGTTGTCTGGGGGCTGAGGCGGGGCCACCTTCTTAGGAAAATCCTCAGAGCTCTGGCCCAGCACCATGAGGGAAGCGTTGAGCATGCTGGTGGAGGTGTAGTTCTGGAGTGTGGAGAAGCCAACTGTCTGTTCAGGTCCGTCTTCAAGGCACCGGCGCCTTCCCTCCCCTCCCCACCCACCATGCCCTCTGCACAAGACCTGCGTTTCCAGGAAGGCCTGCACCGTCAGGAGCTGCACCAGTCGCCTCTCGATGAGGCTCAGGAAAAGGCTGATGTCCCGGTCTCTCATGTGGGTCTTGACCCCTAGGAGGTCACTGATGAGGGTGCTGTCACACTGGACCCTGGTGAAGAGGTGCTGGATGTCTGGGGTCAGAGGGGACAGGTGGTCATGGACCCAAGTGCCCAGGGGGTGCCAGCCCTCTCCTCCTCCTCAAGGCCCTGCTGCCCTGGCTGGGGAGACACCAAACAAGGCTTAAAGATGGAAAGGCAATTGTCCAAGTTCAGAGTGCCAGGGGAGGAGGGTGGGTGGGCATCTCGGGGTGCTTGGCCCCCAGGCTCCAGATGACAGAGGACAGAAAGTGAGGGAGGGCCTTCCCTAGTGGCACAGTGGTGAAGAATCCGCCTGCCAATGCAGGGGACAGGGGTTCAATCCATGATCCAGCAAGATCCCACATGCCGTGGAACAACACAGACCCAGGGCCACAACTATTGAGCCTGTGCCCTAGAGCCAGGGAGCTGTAGTACTGAGACCACATTCCCTAAGCTTGTGCTCCGCAACCAGAGAAGCCGCCGCAAGGAGACGCCTGAGCGCCACAGCTCGAGAAAAAGCCCGTACAGCAGCGAAGACCCAGCACAGCAATAAAAAAATAACTTTTTTTTAAAAGCTAGCGAGGTCAAAGGGAAACGTGACCAGGACAGCTCCACGTTGCCAGCCTGCTTCATACCGCTTCAAGTCACCCAGCTTCCACCGAACCCAGCGAGTCCAGGGCTCAGGCTGTGTTTCTCCCACAGAAACTCAGACCTGTGCTCCACAGAAGTCAGAGGAAATTCATTGTAGCCTCGAGGCTGTGGGTGTGACCAGCTCTCACAGTTGCCCCCTATTGTATTTAGTTAACTAGTTTCACGAAAGAAATGAAAGGTACTCAAGACCTTGACAGAAATCTGCACCCAACCACAGGACAGCCCCACTGCCCGCCCTGCGTCCACCACCTGAGCTCCAGGCTGACAAACACGGTTTCCTCGTGGGGTCCATCCTGAACAACTGGCAATACCACTCACACTGAGATCAGGCACCATCCACCCCCGACCCCTGCAAAGCAGCTTCTTCTCCCACATTCCCATTTCATCCTCACCAAGCTGGACCTCTGTGCGCCTCACCCTTATCAGCCTGACACCCCTGTGCTCTGTCCTCTCCTCTCCATACTCATCCCCTCCCCTCCTACTCACCCCCTTCTCCTGCTCACAACCCACCCAGGCCCCTCAGTTTCCCAGGAGAAAAACCTCAGCCTGACATCCATTTAGGATTTGAGGCTCTTAAAGGTCTGTCTGGTCAAGGCTATGGTTTTTCCAGTGGTCATATATGGATGTGAGAGTTGGACTGTGAAGAAAGCTGAGCACCGAAAAATTGATGCTTTTGAACTGTGGTGTTAGAGAAGACTCTTGAGAGTCCCTTGGACTGCAAGGAGATCCAACCAGTCCATCCTGAAGATCAGTCCTGGTTATTCATTGGAAGGACTGATGCTGAAGCTGAAACTCCAGTACTTTGGCCACCTTATGCAAAGAGTTGACTCATTGGAAAAGACCCTGATGCTGGGAGGGATTGGGGGCAGGAGGAGAAGGGGACGACAGAGGATGAGATGGCTGGATGGCATCGCTGACTCAATGGGCATGAGTTTGAGTGAACTCTGGGAGTTGGTGATGGACAGGGAGGCCTGGCGTACTGCGATTCATGGGGTCGCCAAGAGTCGGACATGAGTGAGCAACTGAACTGAACTGAACTGAGCTCCCACCCACGCCCCCTTCCATTCCCCTCTCTGCACAAAGAACCTACCTTCCTTGAACACATCTCCAAGCCTGGACCCCACCTACTGGGAGCATTCCTCCCCTCTCCAGGTTTTTGCTTACTCATCCTTTGAAATCAGCCTCAAGCATCATTGCTCCCAGGAGACCTCCCCGTGAGCCGACGGAGCCAGTGTCACGGGCTCTGCTGCTGGCACTTGAAATTCTTGCTGGTTTTTCAACAAGGGGCCCCACTTTTTCACTGAGCACTGCCCCCCCCCCAATTCTGCACTCCATGCCTTTAAAGGCATCCTCTCATTCCTGCAGTCCCCAGGGTATTCTCTATCCCAGCCCCTGGGTTACCAGTATCCTATCGGAAGCCAGTCTCTTATCCCACAGCCCTAACCCGCCCAGTCCTCATCATCTAGCACAGGGCTTGGTGCTGTGGCAAACGGGGTCTCCCAAGACTTGAGCTCCTACTGTGCAGCACGAGGCGGACATCCCGTTTGCTCCCCGTCACTGCTGCCACCTCTGCCTGTCTCTCTCCATCTGTCATCCCACCGATCTCATGCCAACCCCACGAAGTAGGCACTAACAGGGGGGCTCCGACAGAGGATACCACAAACCAAAGTTCACAGATGGGGGAGCTGGGATTCAGACCCAGGGCAGCCTGACTCTTGTCCCTCTGCACTGGAAGGAGGAATGAATGCTGCTGCAGAATGGATGGATGGACATGGGACAGACGGACAAGGGAATGCACAAAGTGATCCTCGGAATATCTGTCCGTGGCCAACCCCGGCAGGGCTCCCCTTCTGCTCATCACAGCCTCCCAGAAGAAGAAGCCAGGGCCGGGTCTCACTGGTCTTGAGCTTCTCCAGCTGCCCGCGAAAATTGTGGTAGCGGGCTTCCAGGTCGTCGGCCTCCAAGTGCACATCGTCCACGCGCTGCTGCAACTCGGCCCGCTGCTGCTCCTGCTGCGCTCGCCGGTCCTCCTCGCTGCGGCGCCCGCTCACCAAGGCCTCCTGCATCTGCGGGGGCAGGGGCGCGACGCTGGGCCCAGCTCCAGAGGGGACACAATGAGGTCAGAGGAGTCGGGGATGGGGAGGGGGCGGGTCTCGCCCACCTCCTTGATCTCCTCCTGCAAGTGCTCCAGCTCCGAGTTCTGTTCATTGATGAAGTTGAACTCCGCGAAGTTCCGCTCCTCCACTGGGGGCCAGTGGGGAAAGGCAGGGTCCGGAGAAACAAGAGACGCGCAGGCAGAGACACACACAGGAGGAAGGGGTCAGAAGGCCCGAGATGAGGAAGGAGGGAAATTGGGGAAGACAGGGAGGAGGAGCGTGGCGGAGGAAGGACAGACGGTAAGAGTCCAGTAGAGCCGAGCCTGATCGCTGGGCTCTCTAGCGCAGGTGGAAGACCCCCCAGGCCCGAAGCTGTGGCCCTCGGTCACCAAGACAGAGCACAGTCTGCACTGGATTCCGGGGGCCTGGGCCGCGAGCCTGCCCCTCTCCACCCCCAGGTACTCACACTCCAGATACTTTTCCACCAGCAAGTCCGGGTCGGTCTCCCCGGTCAGCTGGGACAGTTTATTCAGGGCGTCCTCGTAGCGCAGCACCAACTTCTCCTGGGAGGTCTTCCGGAGGCCTTCGGCCACCTCCTGGGCTGGGGGGCGAGGGGACAGTGAACTCGCCGTCGGGGCAGCCACCAGCGCCTGGTGTGGTCTGGGCCCGGAGACAGTCGCGCAGACCCCGCCCAGTCCCTCCCCTGGAGGCCCCGCCCTCCATGGAGGCCCCGCCCCACGCTGAGACCTGGGGCCGGCGGCCCCGCCCCTTCCGCTGCCCCGCCTGCTGCGGCCGAGGTGGAGATCCGCGGCCTCACCCCGCTGCTCGCGCTTCTCCACGATGGCGGAATCCGGCTGCCGGTCGCCGTTCTTGAGCTTGAGGAAGCGGTGCAGCTGCTCCAAGTGCGCGATCTGCCGCTGCAAGATCTGCACCTCCGTCTCGTTCTGGGCCACCTCCTTCTCAGCTCTCTCCCGGAGCATGCCTAACTTGGTCTTCGCCTCTTCCCTGGGAGGGATGGGGGTTGGTTAGACCGGGGTCAGGGAGACAGGAGGTTGGATTGGGGTCAGCCTGGGGCCCAGGGAGGGGTGGGGTCAGCCTGGGGATGGAGGGTGAATGGGACAGGGTTAGCTATCAGCCTGGGGTCTCAGGGATGGGGGAGGTCAGCCTGGAGTCACAGAGATGGATAGAGCCAGCCTGGGGTCCCAGGGATGGGGCAGAATCAGGTTGTCACAAAAGGCAGAGAACTGTCTAGGTTCCTAGTGGTGGGTCAGGATGGGGTTACCGGGCAGTAGGGGGTGGAGGAGGGGTTGGTGGGTGGGCTGTGTAAGTGACTGATGGTCTTGCCCACTGAGGGGGCACTGCTGCAGTGTCTGCCCAGGGCATCGGGGAAGCCTGGCGGTTATTATGTGGCTGTGGAGCAGGAGGCAAGAGGCGATGATGGCACAGTTAGAGATGATATCAGACTCCAAACGGTGGACCCAGGTGATAAGGTAACTGTGCTGGAATTTGGGGTGGGGGTGGGTAGTGTGGTTGGAAAGATAAGAAGCTTGGAGCCTGCAGGGCCTCACGTGGGACAGGCAGGTGCCATCACCAGCACTTGAGTGCTCACCCTGTTAAGATGCTGGGGACACCTGCTGACTGAAACTCCCCCAGCCTGCCCTGCTGAAGGTGAAGCTTTTAACAGTAGTGCAGCCAACTGTGAAATCAGAGTGCCCCAAGCCTATGTCACAGGTCACAGGATCAAAGGTCAAAGGGTCATTAGGTGGGGAGACCAGCAGGTCAGTCTTCTCAGGTCCAGTGGACCAGTCTAGCTCCCCTTTCCACGCCTTTGCCAACCTCGGTTGCCTCAACTCAGGGCACAAGCTTCTGGCTCTACTCAAATCCTACTGGGTCCTCCTAGGGGGGAGCCCTCTCCTGGCACCCCCCAGGCCCAGCCCACAGAGACCCCTCTAGGAGCCCCTCAGGGATCAGGACTCACAGTTCTTTCTGTGTCTTGGGCCCAGGCCCACTGAAGGGCCGGGAAGAGGGAACCCAACTTCCCAAGAGCCAGGCCCTGCAGGAGATGTTCTAAAGCAGCCCACAGGGGTCCATGAGGTAGATACCATTATTATTGCCATGTCACAATAGAGGAAACGGAGGTTCAGAGAGGGGAAGCGGCCTGCCCAGGTCCCCCAGCCAGGAAGCACTGGTCTGACAAGTGTTGGTCCTGACACCTGTCCCTTGCCTTCTAGCTGAAACCACCCTGTCCTTGCACCCAGCTGGGCTGCCCACTGCAGTCAACTGGACAAGTGTTGGCAGGGGCCAGATGCTTCTGATGCAAAGACAGGCCAGCAGGCCATCACCAGTGGGGCTTGGCAGAAAAGATGAGGTGGGCCAGTCAGATTCTCTCCTCAGAATTTACACTGTGAGATGCTAAGAAGGGGACAGCAGGAAGCCAAAGCTGAAAGGATGTATAGAGAGAAACCACAAGAAATCATGTTACAAAGGCCAAGTTAGGAAGAAGCCAGAGCTATGCATGAACAGAAGCCATGAGTTGAGGCTCTGAAGAAGTCATGGCAGACCAGGCAACAAATGACAGAATCAGCCAGAAAAGGACTTCCCTGGTGGTTCAGCGGTCAAGATTCCAAGTGTCCACTGCAGAGGGCACAGGTTTGATCCACGGTCAGTGACTTGAGATCCCACATACCACGCAATGTGACCAAAAAGTAAAAATAAATGAGTTTTTTAAAGAAGTAAAATTTAAACAACAAACAAACAAAAAGAATCAGCCATAAAAATGCAGGAAGTTCTGAGAGATGCTACAACGTGGGTGAACCTTTGAAAGCATTACACTGAGTGAAAGGAGCTAGACACAGAAGGACATGTCATATCACACGTCGTATCATTCCATTTCCGTGAAACATAAAGATACATTTAGGGAAAGGTAGATGTACAGGTGAATCGTCCAGATGACAAGGTTACGGGTTGCCAAGGAGGCTGGAGAAGAGGGGACTAGAGAATGACTGCCTACTGGGTACAGGTCTCCTTTTGGGGTGATGGGAACAGAAGTGATGGTGCACAGCATTATGAATGTACTAAATGCCTCTGAATGGTGCACTTTATAACAGTGAATTTTATGTGCATCTTAACTCAAAGGAAGGAAGGAAGAAGGAAAGAAAGAAAGCAAAAAGAGAGAGAAAGAACAAAGAAAGAAAGATTATAGAAACCTTAAGGTAGATTTGGGCTAGAGCCAATGTCTCATGGAGTCACAAACCATGATAAGAAGTCGTGGGGTAAAAACAAGATACTGATTAGAAGCTAAGAAACCCCTTGGAGCAAGAGAACAGTGCTGAAGCTTAGAAAGGAGTAGAGATGGGATAGGAGAGAGAAAGTGGAGAGCCCAGAGGTGGAGAGAGACGCCCATCAGCTGAGCAGCTGGGGCTTCTAGGTTCCATACAACATGACCCTTTACCTGAAGGTGTCTTGAGAGAATCTCTGTCTCTTTCAACCAGTATTGATAAATGTCAAAGCAAACACCCTCTTCCAACAACACAGACTTTACACATGGACATCACCAGATGGTCAACACTGAAATTGGACTGATTATATTCTTTGCAGCCAAAGATGGAGAAGCTCTATACAGTCAGCAAAAACAAGACTGGGAGCTGACTGTGGCTCAGATCATGAACTCCTTATTGCTAAATTCATACTTGAATTGAAGAAAGTGGGGAAAACCACTAGACCATTCAAGTATCACCTAAATCAAATCCCTTATGATTATACAGTGGAAGTGAGAAATAGATTTAAGGGACTAGATCTAATAGACAGAGTGCCTGATGAACTATGGACAGAGGTTAGTGACATTGTACAGGAGACAGGGATCAAGACCATCCCCAAGAAAAAGAAATGCAAAAAAGCAAAATGGCTATCTGAGGAGGCCTTACAAATAGCTGAGAAAAGAAGAGAAGCAAAAAGCAAAGGAGAAAAGGAAAGATATACCCATCTGAATGCAAAGTTCCAAAGAATAGCCAGGAGAGATAAGAAAGCCTTCCTCAGTGATCAGTACAAAGAAATAGAGGAAAACAACAGAATGGGAAAGACTAGAGATTGCTTCAAGGAAATTAGAGATACCAAGGGAACACTTCTTGCAAAGATGGGCTCAATAAAGCACAGAAATGGTATGGACCTAACAGAAACAGAAGATATTAAGAAGAGGTGGCAAGAATACACAGAAGAACTGTACAAAAAAGATCTTCATGACCCAGATAATCACGATGATGTGATCATTGACCTAGAGCCAGACATCCTGGAATGTGAAGTCAAGTGGGCCTTAGGAAGCATCTCTACGGACAAAGCTAGTGGAGGTGATGGAATTCCAGTTGAGCTATTTCAAATCCTAAAAGATGATGCAGTGAAAGTGCTGCACTCAATATGTCAGCAAATTTGGAAACTCAGCAGTGAGCACAGGACTGGAAAAGGTCAGTTTTCATTCCAATCCCAAAGAAAGGCAATGCCAAAGAATGCTCAAACTACTGCACAATTGCACTCATCTCACACGCTAGTAAAGTAATGCTCAAAATTCGCCAAGCTAGGCCTCAGCAATACGTGAACCGTAAACTTCCAGATGTTCAAGCTGGTTTTAGAAAAAGCAGAGAAACCAGAGATCAAATTGCCAACATCTGCTGGACCATTGAAAAAGCAAAAGAGTTCCAGAAAAACATCTATTTCTGCTTTACTGACTATGCCAAAGCCTTTGACTGTGTGGATCACAACAAACTGGCAAATTCTGAAAGAGATGGGAATACTAGATCACCTGACCTCCCTCTTGAGAAACCTGTATGCAGTTCAGGAAGCAACAGTTAGAACTGGACATGGAACAACAGACTGGTTCCAAATAGGAGAAGGACTAAGTCAAGGCTGTATATTGTCATCCTGCTTATTTAACTTATATGCAGAGTACATCATGAGAAATGCTGGGCTGGAAGAAGCACAAGCTGGAATCAAGATTGCCGGGAGAAAGATCAATAACCTCAGATATGCAGATGACACCACCCTTATGGCAGAAAATGAAGAAGAGCCTCTTGATGAAAATGAAAGAGGAAAAAAGAAAAGAAAAGAAAATGAAAGAGGAGAGTGAAAAAGTTGGCTTAAAGCTCAACATTCAGAAAACTAAGATCATGGCATCCAGTTCCATCACTTCATGGCAAATAGATGGGGAAACAGTGGAAACAGTGGCTGACTTTATTTTTTGGGGCTCCAAAATCACTGCAGATGGTGGTTGCAGCCATAAAATTAAAAGACGCTTACCCCTTGGCAGGAAAGTTATGACCAACCTAGACAGCATATTGAAAAGCAGAGACATTACTTTGTCAACAAAGGTCCGTCTGGTCAAGGCTCTGGTTTTTCCAGTGGTCATGTATGGATGTGAGAGTTGGACTATAAAGAAAGCTGAGTGCTGAAGAATTGATGCTTTTGAATTGTGGTGTTGAAGAAGACTCTTGAGAGTCCCTTGGACTGCAAGGAGATCCAACTAGTCCATCCTAAAGGAGATCAGTCCTGGGTGTTCATTGGAAGGACTGATGTTGAAGCTGAAACTCCATACTTTGGCCACCTAATGTGGAGAGCTGACTCATTTGAAAAGACCCTAATGCTGGGAAAGATTGAGGGCAGGAAAAGAAGGGGACAACAGAGGATGAGATGGTTGAATGGCATCACTGACTCAATGGACATGAGTTTGGGTAAACTTCTGGAGTTGGTGATGGACAGGGAGGCCTGGTGTGCTGCAGTTCATGGGGTCGCAAAGAGTCAGACACGACTGAGCGACTGAACTGAACTGAATCAGTGCTTCCTACGTTCCTGGCCCGCTGCGACCTGAGCTTACTTAAATCTGTTTATTTATTATTTGTTTGTTTGTTTATTGGTAGCACCACGGGGTTTGTGGGAGCTCAGTTCCCCAACCAGGAATTGAACCAGGGCCTTGGCAATGAAAGCTGGAATCCTCACCACTGACCACTGGGGAACTCCCCTTAAGTTTCTCTACATCCCTATGTGCTACGTGCCATGAAAGACAGGGGCCAAAAGGTTAATTCATATACCCAAGAAGAAGGACCTTGACCAAGGAGCTGGAAAATTGGTGGAGGAGGGGCGAGGAAGGGGCATCTTATAAAAGGGGGGGAGGTGGATTGTGACAATGCATTTCATGAGGCGGGATCTTCCCAGCAGCTTGTTAAGAGAATGCGTGGGCCGGCCCAGGACGCCGCCCGGGGCCCTACCTGGCAGTGTAGGCGGAGGTGGAGGAGACCATGAGGCTCCTGACCGAGTCCTTCAGGAGCTGCGCCTCCTGCCAAGAGAACAAGACCGAGCGGCTTCGGACGCCCTCGCCGCTGGACGGCCGTCCTCTGAGCCTGCGTCCCCCCTGTAAGAAGGGGGTTTCCTGTGCCTTAGAAACGTGGTCCTTTCTAGTTAGCGGCGACCCATGAAAGGGTTTTCAAGGAGGTACCAAGCGAGAGGAAAGCCAAACTGATGACCAGGAATGCAGTGAAACACCCGACTCAGGATATTCCTAAGAGTGCTGACCTAACTTTCTGGTAGTGTCAAAAAATTTGTGTGAATTTCAAACTTGTGACCACGCTAATCTGTTTCCTAGTTCTGTGGAAGTGTCTGTGCAGAGTTATGGGTAAAAAGGGTTCTTTCAGGAGAGAGAAGGGAGGAAATTACATGTATATATTTTTACACATATAGTGTATATGTATGTACTAATGTGTATAAACACATATACATATATGTTGCATGCATCCTCAGTCGTGTCCAACTCTTTGCAACCCCATGGACTGTAGCCCACCAGGTTCCTCTGTCCATGGGATTTCCCAGGCAAAAATACTGGAGTGGGTTGCCATTTCCTATTCCAGGGGATCTTCCTGAAGCAGGGATTGAACCCACGTCTCTTGCACCTCCTACGTTGGCGGGCAGATTCTTTACCACTAGCGCCACCTGGGAAGCCCCTATATATGTATATGCACACACACACACACACACACCCTTTTACAACGAGAAACCGAGGCTAGAGAACCAGAAACTATGGGGGCTGAGGGGGAATGGATAGAAGCAATGATGTTTCTGTTGGAAACCTTTGGAATAGTTTTTTAAATTTATTTATTCATTTGGCTATGCCAGGTCTTAGTTGCGGAACTTGGGATCTTCAGTCTTTGTTGCGGCATGTGGGATCTAGTTCCCTGACCAGGGATGGAACCCGCATTGGGAATGCGGAGTCTTAGCCACTGGATCAGGGAATAGTTTTGATTTGGGAACCCGTCAATGGTTTACGTGTTCACAAAGAAAATTCAATCAACAAGAATAGGGAACAGAACTAAAACCAAATACAAAGAGAAGCAAATGAACCTAACTATATTTCAAAGAACAGAACCACAAAGAAGACCAAGAAAAAACAGGAACTAATCCTAGTAACTTATGAATAAGGTGTAGATGGATGGATGGATAGATAGGTAGATACCCACGCCCTCAGAGTATAAAACAATCAACAAATGAATTGTGAACTCTCATGTTCAAGGGTTGTTAGTACAGTTGTAACAATTCTGAACCTCTCTTGGGTATTTTGTAGGGTTGAACATAAGTACATATATCAATGCTATTGGCAGCTAGAGTTCCCACTGTGGGGGAAAACAAAGATAAAATGGGGAGTGTTCAGGAATAAGGCAGTGGTGCTGGGGTCAGAATGAGAGGCACTCATGCAAACTCATGATTTTAAAATGTGTGTGTGTTTCCTAGTCCACTCCAGAGAAAGGGCCTCAAGTCAGGGACACCCCAGTAGCAGTGAGGACTCCTAGAGCCTGTATTTTGGTTTCTCAGCACCTACTTCTCACTAGGAAGAACCAGGACTCTTTGGAGAAACACTAACTCAAGAGTTAAGGCAGAACAAGTACAAGAAAGTCTGGACTATCTTCTTGTGCCAGAAAACAAGGAAGTCCTCGGGGTTGGGGGGTGCAGGGGCGGAAACGATGAGCTTGTAAAAAAAGCCAACTTGAGGGCACGCCCACTAGAGAAGTCTGGGACAATTTGAGCATCATAATAAGTAATGAGCACTATGGATTATAACTCATAAAGTAAGAATACATGAATGCTTACTGACGACCCACAAATATACTTAAGAAGTTCTTAAGTAAAATGCCGTTTTCTAAATTAAAAAGAAATGACAGAGAGTTAGAAAAATCACTCTTTGGCAGCCATTACAGTAATAATTGGACTTCTCAGGTGTCTCAGTGGTAAAGATTTCACCTGCCAATGCAGGAGACTCTGGTTCGATCCCTGGGTCAGGAAGATTCCCCTGGAGAAGGAAATGGCAACCCACTCCAGCATTCTTGCCTGGGAAATCTGACGAAGAGACGAGCCTGGTGAGCTACAGTCCACAGGATTGCAAAGAGTTGGACACAATGCACGCATGCACAGTAATAATTATTCAGACAAAAATCATCATTATGGGAGGCTAGAGTGGAAATGTGTTGGGAAACAGGATATTTACACGGTTTCAAAGAATCTCCCTGGACCCATTCATTACAAAGAGGGAAACTCTCTACTGGAGAAACCTGGCTGACCAAGCGATCAAGGTCAACATCACTAGTTACAGGACAAACTGATGTTACATGCTCCTGGTGTAATGCCCACAAATGACAAAATACCACCTCAGTGGTATTTCACCTAAAATGCACAACTTGAATCTAAGCATTGAGAAAGATCAGATAAGCCCACATTGAGGGATATCCCACAGCACAGCTGGGCTGGGTACTTCCAAAATGTCAAAGTCATGGAGATAAAGAAGTGTCTGTTGTAGATAAAGGGAGCCAGGACAACCAAACGCAGTGTGGGATCTTGGCCAAGAGCCTGCAGCAGAATAATTAAATTAACTATCACGAGATGCTGTTATAATAATCATGAACTTTAAATATGGACTATTTAGAACTGTAACAATGTTCAAGCTCCTGATTTGGGCAAGGGCACTTTGTTTATGTAAGAAAATGATCTCGTGCTTAGGAAATAAGCACTGACGTTCTTAATGACGTTCTATAATGTCTACATCGAGCTCTCAAATTCTGACAATGTTATTTTCAGTAAAAAACAATTACCCAGAGAGAGAAAGACGGACAGAGAGAGGGTAAAATGGCAAATTACCAGTCTTGGTGAAGGATTGATAGTTCTTTGTACTATTTCTGCACCTTTTCTGCAGATTTGCAATTATTTCAAAGTAAAATCTAGAGAGGGGGGAAGAGAAAAAAAGGAAGGGAGGGAGGCGAAGGGAGGAAGGGAGGGTTCTTCAAAGAACTTCAAGGCTTATTGAGAAACGTGTGGAATGTAAATGGTCTGGCCGGAGCCTTTGTTGCCCCGTTGATGACACTCAAAGTGACATCTCTGCTTCCATCTGAAGCAGTTGTCTTTGTTGGAACGTTTTCAGGTCTCCATTCCCTCCAAACTCAAGTAAATCCATGGTTCTGGGCGGTTCTGCACTTGAGGCGGGAGGGTTGGAGAAGGCAGGGTGACTTTTGCATCCTCCCCTCCTCACGGGCTGGGCCAAGGACTCCTGGGCTTCAGGGCCACTGACCTTCTGGAGCTTGCGGTCCACGTTCAGATAGCGGTTCCTCTCGATCCGCAGGAGATCTAGCTCCTCCCTCAAGGTCGCGTTCTGAGCCAGCTGGATGTCAAAGCGACAGATGACCTGGGGTGGGAGAGGGTGCTAAGAGCCTGTCTGACACCCAGCCTGCCTCCATTCTCCACTTTCAGCAGAGGAGAGGGCACTTGCCAGACTGGGGGCCCGTTCTCAATTTGGGGACCCTGAGAGCGTCACCAAGGACCCAAGCATCAGCCTCCTTCCCAAGGGGACCCTCCATCCCTCCGGGATCGTGTCTCCTGACCTGGTCCACCATTTCCAAAACTTGACTCCTATGCTCAGGTCTTCCCCTAAACCCCAGAGCTCAGACCTGGGGACAGCCCAGAAGCAGACCCTCACCTTGTCCAGCTGGTTTTCGAGACTCTTGATCCTTCGCTGGCTCTTGACCTTGTGATCCTGGACGCATCCTGGAGACCTGGCATTCTTGCTGTGGGCAGAGTTCCGGCTCTCCCATTCCTGGATCTGGGGAAAGAGGGTGGTACCTGTTGGTTGACAAAATGTGGGAGAGATTGAGGGAGGGAGGGAGGAGGTGAATGCGAGGGTGAGTGACTGAGGGCGGTTGATAGGAGCAGTCTTTGTGTGCCTGGCCATCAGCTGGACCCCCTTCTGAGATCAGTACCCAACCTTCCACGTGGGTCTGGCTTCCAACCATAAGAAGCCGCCCTGCTGGCCACATGACCCAGGTCTAGACAATCCTTTTTTTTTTTTTTTAATTTTAAAATGTTATTTATTTTTGGCTGGGCTGGGTCTTCACTGCTGCACAGGCTTTTGTCTAGTCTTGGGGAGCAGGCTTCTCCTTGCGGTGGCCTCTCTGGTTGCAGAGCACGGGCTCTAGGGTTCGCAGACTTCAGTAGTTGCAGCTCCCGGGCTCTAGAGCGCAGGCTTGGTAGTTGTGGCCACAGGTTTAGTTGCTGTGCAGCACGTGGGATCTTCCTGGATCAGGGATCAAACCCGTGTCTCCTGCATTGGCTGGCAGATTCTTTACCACTGAGCCACCAGGGAAGCCCCAAGATAATCCATTTAGAGATGGATGTGTGCCCCAAGCTGAGCCAGCCTGAATCCTTTCTGGTATTTTGGGAGAAACATGTGATCTGGGTGGATGAGTCACCACTCACAGTGGACGAAGTGGAGACAAGAGTCTGAGAGTGAGATAGACTGGGACCTGGGACCCCTTGCTGCAAATGCTTGCCCCTGGACAAACATCTCCTCGAGTATAACCTTTAAAATTGTATAAAATCTTTTTTTAAAAGAGAAGAAAAAAATAGATGAAGGCAAAGATCAGAGTGATGCTTCTACACACAAAGAACGCCAAAGATCTCCATTAGACCAGCAGAACGTAGGCAAGAGACACAGAACAGATTCTCAAGGCTTCCAAAGGAACCAGTCCTGCCCGCATCCTGATTATGGACTCCTGGCCTCCAGAACTGTGTGGCAATGAATTTCTGTCATGTAAGCCACCCTAGGAAATGAATACATGTGCCAAGGCACCCCAGAGCGTTGCAGCAAACTCAAAGGGACAACCATAGGGGTCTTTTAAAATTTGAGGGAGACACATGGACATTGGTCAGACACCACATGGACTTGGAGCTCAAGGTCGTTCCCAGGTTCAACAGGATGTGGCACTACATTCCTTTGGATGATACATCTTTCTGAAACAGTTTTTAGCAGTTGCTGCGATTAAAAAAAAAAAGAATCAAAACTCCAAAATGGTGCCATTGAGAGAAATTGGGCAAACCATACAAGGACTTTTCTCTGCTTGTGAATCTGTCATTAGTAGACAGATTAGAATCTGTCATTAGATAGAATCTGTCTGTCAGTAAAATTTCAGTTTGAAAAAAGAAAGCATGTGCTGCACAGAAGTCAGTATGGAATGAGTGGTGAGTCCAATCTAACCAAGATCTGAAAAGTTGCACAGCGCCCCAAAGGCACAAACATCCCACAGGTAATTGTGGTTTTTAAGAACTAAACACGATTTTCTTCAACTTGTGTGTGTGTGTGTATGTGTGTGTGTGTGTGTGTGTGTATTTTTTAAGTGGTTTCTAGGTTGTTAGGGTGCAAACCCTTACTGGGTTGTTCAGCCAAGCTGCTATAATAGAGTTGTTAGCAGTGCAATACTGGGGCTCCTCAGACAGTGCTTGAGAGCTCAAGTTGCATTTTCAGGAAGTACATGAGTTCAATCGCTGGTAGCTTAAAATTGACTATTATACTAGTTTCCCAGTTCTGCATAAAAATAACAGTCTTCTTCAGTATTCACAGATTAGTTCCAGGACTCCCCTCAGATACCAAAATCCAAGGATGCTCAAGTCTCTTATATGAAATGATGTAGTAGGGACCTTCCTGGTGGTCCAGTGGTTACAACTCTGCACTTCCAATGCAGAGGACCAGAGTTTGCTCCCTGGGTGGGGAAGATCCCCTGGAGAAGAAAGTGGCAACTCACTCCAGTATTCTTGCCTGGGAAACCCCACAGACAGAGGAGGCAGGTGAGCTACAGTCCACAGGGTCGCAAAGAGTCAGAAACAACTGAGTGAGCACACACACAGATATTATGTCATTATAAAAATATACCACAATTTATTCATTCAAATATTAATGGACATTTGGGATAATCTGGAGCTAGATGATATGAATAATGCATCTATCAACACTTTTTCATGAATCCTGGTTCCAGGGTATATACTCAGAAGTGGCATTGTTGGGTGGGAAGATGGGTTACTGACAAATCTAATCCAATTTCTACTGGGGGATGACTTTGGTTTACTTCCTTCTAACACCATTTCCATGGAAACATACTGGGTTTAAGGTAAATACAGAATGCCAGCTGTGGTTCCCAGGCAACAATGTTTATTATAAAGGTGGCCCCTGATTGTGAACTATATCAGACTGGAAGGACTGTGAGTGGACTTGTAGACCCTGGAGGCTTATGTGATCATGAATGAAGAGAAAACTGGTTTCCTTGTGGGGTGTTTCTTATAACATAATATATTTCTGGTGGGGTCTTACAAGCTGCTCTGATAATTGGTTACAAGTGGTGGCTCGTGTTGAATATAAAAAAAATCCCCATGGCAGGGTGGGCAACACCCACCCATATGGTGTTGTCCAACTGAAGATGCTGAGACGTATCCCCTGAATACTCAAGGAAGATGCATTGGATGCTGTCGTGCAAAGATGCTGCTGTTTCCTGCCCTCTGTCCTTCTGCAGAGTTAAGTGAACCTGGTGCCAAGTGACAGCCTATTGGATCCTATGAGTGTCATGGTCAGGTGGAGCCCAAGACTGCTTCTGGTGACCATCTGTGTGGAGTGGATGCATTCCCAGACCACAGGGTATGTCTCTCTTCAAATTTAATAGATAATGAGGGAAAAAACTTTTCAGAATACACATGACAATTTAGACTCCCTCCAGCTGGTGGGGTCTTATGAACCAGCAGTTCTTTAAGAGTTCCCACTGTTCCTCCTCTCCCCTGCACTTGGTGTATTTGGACACTCACTTTTGAAAATCTGGTGAGTGTGTAATGATATCTCCTTATGACTTTTCTCTTTTTGGGGGCTGTGCTGGGTCTTTGTTCCTGCCTGCAGGCTTTCTCAAGTTGCAGAGAATTGGGGCTACTCTCTGCTTGTGGTGTGAGGGCTTCTCACTAAGTGGCTTCGCTTGTTGCAGAGCACAGGCTTCAGGGCAGTGGGCTTCAGTTGCTGTGTCACAAAGGCTTAGTTGCCCCAGGGCATGTGGGATCTTCCCGGACCAAGAGTCGAACCCATGACTCCTGCATTGGCAGTTGGATTCTTTACCACTGAGCCACCAGGAAAGCCCTATGGCTTTCTCTTTTTATTTTTAAATTTTTTCCTTTTTGGCTTCTCTGCATGACATGCAGGATCTTAGTTCCCTGACCAGGCATTGAACCTGTGTCCCTTGCAGTGGAAGCATGGAGTCCTAGCCACTGGATTGCCAGGGAACTCCCACACTGTTCTTTTAAGTAAATGTTAGTCATCTTGTTCACTTCACTTCTCTAAAATCTTAGAATCTGTTTGTCCATTTCATCCATTAAAAATAAAAAACTTTTAGTGTTTTGATTGGAATTACATTGATTTTATAAGTCAGTTTGGAGATCTGACATTTTACAACACTAACTTTTCCAATCCATGAACATGGTATACTTCTACATTTATTAAATTCTCCTTTGGGACTTTCCTGGTGATCCAGTGGTTAAGACTCTGCTCTCCCACTGCAGGGGGTATAGGTTCGCTCCCTGGTTGGGGATCCTGCATGCCTTGCAGAGCAGCCCAAAAAAAAAAAAAAAGATGATTCAAATATTAAATTCTTCTTTTGTTGTTCTTCAGTCACTAAGTTGTGTCCAACTCATTGTGACCCCATAGACTGCACCAGGCTCCCCTCTCCTTAACCACCTCCCGGAGTTTGCTCAAATTCATGTCCATTGAGTTGGTGATGCCATCTACCCATCTCATCCTCTGCTGCCCCCTTCTCCTTTTGCCTTCAATCTTTCCCAGCATCAGGGAAATCTTCCCCAGCATTCTTTAATATTCCTCAATACCCTTTTACAATTTATTCTATAGGGGTCTTGCATACTTTTGTTAGATTTCTTCCCAGGTACTTCTTTTGGCTATTATAAATGTGTCTTTTTTTTTCTTTAATTTTCTAATAGTTATCGCTAATACAGAGAAATATCATTAACCTTTGTTTCCAGCCACAGTGTTAAAATACCTTGTTAAATATAAGCTAGTTTTATATTCTTTTGGACCTTCAATGTACACAAATAGATCACCAACAAATACTGACAATTTCATTTCTTCCAATTTTTAAATTGTTTTAAATTTCTTTTCCTTCCCATACTGGGCTGGATAGGGATTCCAGTACAATGTCAAACAGAAGTGGTGCTAGCTAACACTCTTATATTGTTACTGATCCCAAGGAGAATTTTTTTACATGTTTTGCTATCAAATATAATGTTTGCTGTAATGTTTTATAGTTGCCCTTCATCAAATTTGGGGAATTCCCTTTTATTCCTGGATTGCTAATAGTTTAACGAACAGATGCTGAATTTTATCATATATATATATATATATATATATATGTATATTTATATCTACATAGATTGTTGCTATGAACTGGTACAATCCAAGGATTGTCTGTCATCAGTTTCTGATGTAATAGGTTCAGAAAATGGCAGTAAGCATTTAGAAGCCGTTCTTGGGTGCTGCTGAATTCATGTGACAAGTCACACAAGCCCCCCACTCTCCTGCCCAGATGTCCACATCCAAATTCCTAGAACTTGTGACTATGTCACTTGAAAAGGCAAAAAGGACTTTACAGATGTGATAAAGCCAAGGATATTGAGATGACTCAAGGATAATCTCCTGAATTGTCTAGATAAGCTCAATATCATAACAAAGGTCCTTACAAGTGAAAGAGGGAAGCAAGAGAGTCAGAATCAGAGAAGAAGAAATGACAAAGGCATCAGAGTGATGCAGCTTGAGAAAGATCGACCGGTCATTGCTGGCTAAGAAGATAAAGAAAGGAGTCATGGGGACGTCCCTGGCGGTCCAGGGTTTAGGAATCTGCCTGCCAATGCAGGGGAACACAGGTTCGACCTCTGGTTGGAGAACTAAGATCCCATATGCCTCTGGGCAGCTAATCCTGTGCCCACAACTACTGAAGCCCACACATCCTAGACATGCTCCACAGCAAGAGAAGCCATGACAAGGGAAAGCCCATACACTGTAACTAGAGAGTAGCCCCTGATTGCTGCAACCAGAGAAGGCCCGAGAGCAGCAATGAAGACCCGGCACTATCAAAATAAAATAAATAATTTTAAGAATAAAAATGTTTTAAAAGAAAGGAGCCATAAACCAAGGAATGCAGGCAGCTTCTAGAAGCAGGAAAAAAGCAGGAAATGGGAGTCTCCCCTGAAGGCTCTTAAAGGAACACAGCCTGCTAACACCTTGATTTTAGCCCAGTGAAACTCATTTTGGATTTCTGTCCTCCAGCACTGCAGAATAATTCATTGGTATTACTTTAAGTCAAGTGAGTGGTAATTTGTTACAGCAGCAATAGCAAACTAATACAGCCCACCAAGATATCTAACTTTCAGTCTCCTATTTGTGATCCAGTAGTGTGCAAGAAATCTTTTGGTCTCAGCAAGCAACTTTTTAAGATTTTTTGATGTGGACCATTTTTTAAATCTTTATTGAATTTGTTATAATATTGTTTCTTTTTATGTTTTGTTTTTTGGGCCCAAGGCATGAGGGATCTCAGCTCCCCCACCATGGATTGAACCAGGACTCCCCAGCATTGGAAGGCAAAGTCTTTTTTTTTTTTTTGGAAGGCAAAGTCTTAACCACTGGACCTCTAGGGAAGTCCTTTGGCAAGCAACTTTTTCTTTTTGCAAGCAACTTTTGAAAATGAAGAGTAGAATTGAAAATAGAATGGAAAAAAAAAGAAAATAGAATGGATCCCATGTGGAGAATTATTTGGGGAAACTTTTGTTTCTGATGTATTTGTATGTGTGTGTGTTTACATCCATATGCATCTCTTTGTATATGAACTGTGTCACAGTGAGTCCTGGTCCTAAAAACTGAAAAGAACACTAGCCTAGAAAAGTCACATTGTTTCCAGGGTCAAATAGCAGGATCTTGAAGCCAACAGGATGAAAAATCGGTCTAGACTCTGCTGCTTTACCTACATTCTCTTTTTGCAGATGAAGAAACTAGGGCCCGGAGAGAAGTAGACTCGCCCACGGTCACACAGCTCTGATGCGCCTGGACCAGAATTCTATTATAATGCAGGGTGCACTGACTCCAGAAGGTGACTCTTTCCCTCTTAACCGCCTTTTTGAAGGCATGAGGCTGTGCTAAGCAGTAAAGACTCATAATTCCTATGGGAGCCTGAACACAAACTCCCTTGAGAGGATGCTTTCAATAACCCCATTTTTCAGATGAGGAAGGTGAGGCTCAAAGAGGTTATGACACTTGCCCCTGAGTAGGATCCACCGAGTCTGGTCCCAGGACCCACCTGCCTGTCCAGGGCTTGGTTCTGTGCCTGCAGCTCCTTGACCTCGGCCTGCACCCGGACCTGGCACTTGAGCAGGTGACCCATGTTCTCCAGCCTCTCGCTGTCCCGCAGCCGCCTGACCTGGCTCTGGGCAATGCTGATCTGCACCTGCAGCTTGTGTCGCACCCCCTCCAGGCGCTGGATCTCCTCACTGCCCAGGCAGGGAGGGGGAGGGGAAGCCAGAAAGGGGCAGAGCTCGGCATCACTGAAGTCCAGACACGCTGAGCCTGCCCTCCCCTTTCAGATCCAGGAATGCAAACCCCCACCTCCTTAACAGCCCCCTCCGCGGCTCCAGGGACCCAGGCTCACAGCTGCTTGTTGATGCGCTGATGGACTTCTTTGCTGTAGGCTCGCCTTTCGTCTTCCATCACTTTGCATTGTCGCTGCAGTCGGCTCAGCTCCCAGTCTACTGAAGCGTGGGACCAGGCAAGGGATTCAGTAGGAATCCAGGTCCCAGCCCCTCCCTCTCCAAACCCTAGAAATTCTGGCTCCCTTAGGGGCTCACCAACTGCAGCTGAACTGCAGAACCCAGTCCCCCGCACCACTCTAGGGCTGCGTCTCAGTTCCTGTATCTCTCAAGCTTCCTCATCCCTGCATACTGCCTGTACCCTAAGCTGATCTCCCATTTTCCCCCTAAACCCACTTCTATCCAGGATTTAGGCGTGCATGCCTCTGTTTCCCCACTAGAGGGCACTCCAGGGAAGCCTCACAGTCCTCAGGGACCAGAAGCACAGGACCTAGAACTTGGGAAAGCTGAGGACGTGTGCCAAGTCCCGCCCCCCTCCCCAGGGTGGGGGGTGGGGACACTTTTCTTGTTACATTCCTCCTGTTCAACCCCATCACCACCCTTCCTCAGCCCCACCCTCCCGCCTCCTCACTCTCAGTCCATCCCCTTGGCTCAGGCCTAATCCCCCCCTGCCTGGACCATCACCCCATCACCCCAGCCTCCTCCCCAACCTCCTGGCCTCCCTTCACAGCTCCAGACGGTCTTTCCATGCCTAGAGCGGTCACAGACCTCCCTGTGCCCAAGCACATCCAAAGCTGCGGCTCCACAGCCTGCGGTTCCAGGCCCCACAAACCCGACCCTACCCACCTCTCTGGTCCCATCCACTAGCTCCCCATCCCCCACGGCCCACAGGTTCTCAACTAGGATCAATTCTGCCCCCTTGAGGACATTTGGCCGTGTCTGGAGACACCTTTGATTGCTACAGGGTAGGGGAGTGTCGGGAGGGTACTACCAGCATGCAGTGGGTAGAAGCCAGGGGAGCACTGAGCATCCTCCAGCGCACAGAACCCTCCCCCTAATATCCAAGAATGATCTGACATCTGACCCCAAGGGTCAACGATGTGGAGGTAAAGAAACCTTGCTCTAGTCACATCCTGTTCTCTCTGCGGAAACACTCTTCCTTTCCATCTCCTGTTGGTAATTCCTGGGAGAAGTTCTGGACCTCACTCAAACTTCTCCTGCAGGAAGTCTTCCTGGCCATCCCACTCCCCCGCCCGGCTCCACCTCCATTCTGGAGGAAGTGTATTTAGCAACTAGAGAGCGCTCCTGAAAACCCTCCCGGTCCCCGGGGCCCCGCTGCACAGGATATGAAACATGGGAAAACCGAGGAAAAGAATGGATGAAATAAAGAATGCAGGAATTACCCATTCCCTCCAGGAAGGCCTCACTTCCATCCTCGGAACGAGTGCTCCCAGCCGAGAGTCCAAAAGGCATCTTGGCCAAAGAGGGTGAAGCTCCTGCAGGGGCGACACAGGACCCCTTCAGACGGCGAGGAGAGGGCTAGGAGGGTGGGCGATGAACAGCGAGGGATTAGGTACTGGAAGAGGGTGACCCCAGAACTGGCATCTCTTTGAGTCTCAATTCCTCCAGTGAGTCAGAGGAGGACACCTGTCAGGTCTCTTCCCACACCCCTCCCAACCTCCCACCTCTCACATTCTGTCTTGTGTCGCGGTTCTGACTCTGGCACGGGGTCCTCTAGACCCTCGCTATCTCCGAGGTGGGGCTGTTTGGGGAGGAGGCATCACAGAGGCAGGGGAAATCCCCATCCCGGTCGGCTGAGGAGAGCGAGGCCCGGTCCCTACCTGCTGGAGTGCCTGACCTGTCCTGGGTACTCCAAGCTCACTGTTGTGGTCTGGTTACTGGGGAGATAAGGGGCCAATGAAGGTCTGAGGACAGCAGCCGGGGAGGGACCAAGGCCACCGAAGAAAGCCGTGGGAGGGGAGGCTGGGGAGGAGGGGCCGAGAAAGCCACAACGAGGCCTTGAGGGAGATCAGTTGCTAAGAACAGACGAGTTAGGGGAGCACTACGAGGGGCGGTGCTGGGGGGCTGGGAGGGGCGGGGCTGGGAGGGCCTGTGAAGGCTGAACTGTAAGCCTTGTGAAGGGCGGGACTGTAGGGCGGGCGAGGGGCGGGGCTGTGGAGGACTAGGATGTTCGGGGCTGAAAGGGCCTGTGAGGAGAGGGGACTGCGTGAGCCTGAGGCGCGGCGCTTCGGGACTAGCGAGGGGAGCGCAGAGCTGGAAGGACTGGAGAGGGCTGGGGCTGCGGGGCCTTACGAAGGCAGGGACACAGATAACCGTCCAGAGCAGGACTTCGGAGCTTTGAAAGGAGAGGGACAAGAATACCTGTAAAGGGCGGGGCTGCGGGCCCTGAGGGGTGGGGCTTCGGGGGTGGCGAGGGGCGTGGCTGGAAGAACAGGTGAGAGAGCTGGCGGGAGGGCGCTGGAAGGACGCAGGTTCCCTAGACTTGTAGGGGGTGCTGAGGCTAACCGTCGAGATGATCTGTGTGGGGAGCACGGGCTTGTGAGGGGTAGGCTGTGTGTTTCCAGGAGGGAGAGGCAGTAGCTGAAAGAGCCTGTGGAGGCAGGGCTGGGAGGGGAACGTCTGGAAGACTTTGGAACTGGGCCGAAGTCCTTTGGGATGGAGCGCGAGAGACGCGTGTCTTAAGCTGATTGCTACTACTGCTAAGTCGCTTCAGTCGTTTCCGACTCTGTGCGATCGCATAGCCGGCAGCCCACCAGGCTCCCCCGTCCCTGGGATTCTCCAGGCAAGAACACTGGAGTGGGTTGCCATTTCCTTCTTCAATGCTTTAAAGTGAAAGGTGAAAGTGAGGTCGCCCAGTCGTGTCTGACTCTTAGCGACCCCATGGACTGCAGCCTACCAGACTCCTCCATCCATGGGATTTTCCAGGCAAGAGTACTGGAGTGGGATGCCATTGCCTTCTCCGATTAAGATGAAGCTGATTAAGACCACGTTATTTTGAGGCTTCATTAGCAGGCAGGCGGTGCCGATGCCGGGAGTTGTGAGGGAGAGGAGCGCTTACCACCGCCTCAGGGCCTCGAAGCCACTCACTACGCATGCGCGACCAACGGCCTCGGGAGAGACTGCCAAAACCCTCAGCTGCCAGAGCTGTCGGCGCTCTTAGAGGCGGAAGTGGGCGGGGCCTAGGGCGCTCCGTGCCGCCCCTGCTTTCCGGGCACGCCCCCGAGCTCCGCAGTGCACGCCCCCCCCCTTTGACTGCCGCCTGCTGCCCACGTGGGCCCTCACAGAGCCTGCTGTCTGTGGGCGCCGCTCCTTGCAGGCTGGGTGTGCCCAACGCCTGCGGTTTCCTGTGGGAGGAAGCAGCCCGCGGGCGCTCAGCTCGTGGCTTTGGAGGCCCAGGAGAAGATTCCACCACCGCCCTCGGGTACCCTAATTCTCCCCCTTCTGTAGGGCCCTAGCATGGGGGACCCCCTGCCCGGAACATCTCCAGGGTACCCCAACCTGGCGCTAATTCCACTCTGGGAGTTTGATTCAGAGTCCTAGCTTCCTGTTCTCCACCTCCCCCGCTCAAATTCCATCTCTATAGCCCCTGGTTCCCAGACTCCTCCCAGGACTCAGGTCCAGCCCCTTTGCCTCCTTGAAGAACAGAACGATCTCCAGTCCCTCATTTTTCCCCCAGTGACCCAGGCTTTCTAACTTACTTGGAGAACTGAGCTCAGACCTCCAGTCTCTGTCCTTCTCAAAGATGTAACTACTTTACCCACCCCCAGTGACCTTCATTTTGTACTCCCAACTTTTTAGCCTTGGGATCCAATGGACCCAAGCATTTGTCCCTTCTCCAAATCCCAGACACCTCATCTCCCGTGTCCCAGTGTCTGGTATAACGTGCACGTACAACAGTGCTTTCTCTATGCCAGGCAGTCCTCTAAGCACTGCTCCTTGAGGTATTTACTACTACTATTCCTATTTTACTGATGAAGAAACTGAGGCATAGGGAGATTAATAACTTGCCCCAAATCACAGATAATGAATAAAGCCTGTGTCAGTTATAACAGCTTCCAGGTTAGGGTTAGGAGTACCCACCCAGTCACTGAACTGCCCCTCCCTCACCCCCTCAGGGAGCCCAGATAACCAACCACTCTCCCTCCCTCTCGCTGTGGCTCCCTCAGATACCCAGACATCCCATCATCCAGTTCCTTTCCCTTGTGGGGACCAGGATTTCAGTCCTCCAGCTCTTAATTCCATATCAGGACCCCAGACACCTGGCTCCCTGTCCCTTGCTTTTCACCAAGCACCCAACCCTCCATAGAGACCCAGGTACGTAGTGTTGATCACTCCCCACACTTATTATATCTAAGATAGTAAATAATAATGATAACAGTAATAGTTATTAATAACATTAAGTCCCTGGTACTGCACTTCTGTTTAAAACCCTCCAGTGGTTCCCCACTACCCTTAGAATAAAATCCAAACTCCTCCTCTAGGCTTCAAGGGCTCTCTTTGAATTCCCTTCCTACCACTCCCTCTAGTTCCCTATATTCTGGCCACACTGGTCCTTCTGTCTGCTCCCCAAACAACTTGAGCTTGTTCTCAAATGCTGTGTACTTCCTCTCCCTCCAGCATTCAAATGACTCCTGTCTTCAAGTCTCATCTCAGAATGAGGTTTCTCAGAGAAACCTTGCCAGATCACCCTTTTAAAGCTGCCTCCCATCATTAGCAGTGTCACTGTATTTCATTTCCTTCAAAGCCCTACCACTACTACTTCTGTGCTGATGGGTTATTCTCTCTCTCGCTCAACTAGAAGGTAAGCTCCGTAAGAACAGTAGGGCTCACATCTGTTTTCTTCATTATTAACTCCTGGTTCATAATAGATGTTCAATAAATGTTTGATGAGGAAAAGAAAAAATGTGTTTGGTGTGTTAGTGTACTGGTATTACCTTGTCTAGAATAAGTATCAGAATTGTTATTGCTATTAGTATATTGTCAGTAGTATAAGTAGTATTGTACCCACCTCTCCATTAGGAAACTGAGGTTCAGAGAGTTGAAATAATTGGTCAGGGTCCCCCAGGCAGGAAACAGTAGCCGTGGGTTCTTAACTTCCACCTCCTGCCCCCTTCCGGAGTTCCACACTTCCCCATTTCCCATCCTGATTCCCACCAGGGTGCCAACCCCACAAGTCTTCAGCCCACTCCCCGCTGCAGGAATCTGGTCTTCCCACCCAGACACCCCATCCCTCTGAGGATCCAGTCCTAAGCCCCATCAGGGAAAGCAGATGTCTGTTCCTGGGACAAGTCCCGGAGCAGAGGCCTGAGAATCAGATCCTCCCACCCGTGATGCTTGCCCCACCTGAGGGCCCCAGCTGTTTCCTTCCCTCCAAGGACGTGTCATCTCCACCGCAGGAGGGGGAGCCCCAGAAGATGCCTGTCGGGGCAGTGGGTGGGGGCCCAGAAAAGGAGGAACAGAGGAACGCGGGTGCCTGGTCCCTCCCTCTGGCTGCCGACCTCAGCTGGGCGCGGTGAGGGTGGGTATAAAAGGGTCAGTATATATTGAGAGGACCAGAGAAAGAGAAACCAGGAGAGTGAGTAGAGAGGCGGATCGAGGCACAGACGGTGAGGACAGGAGAGAGAGAGACAAGAGGCAGAAGGCGAGAAAAAGAGAGAGAGGGAGAGAGAGGGTTCCAGAATTGGAGGGGAGAAAGAGAGAGAGCCAGAGAGAGGGAGGGAGGGAGAAAGGCGGTGAGAGGCGGGGGCCTCGAGAGGGTGGAAGGAGGGAAGAGAAGGGCGGGGCACAGAGGCCCGATCGAGGGACCGGACTCAGGACTCAACTCTGACTTCTGCCGCTCTCGGTAAGTTTTCAATCCGTTATTCAGCCTGCGATTTCTTTCTTTACTTGGGTGTGCAGCATTTGGAAAGGAGACCCCCCACGCCACCCACCCCCACCAGCTTGGGAGAAGCTTGGAAATCCTTGTAATTTAAGAAGTGAAATCTTGGCACTTGGGGTGGAGACTTGGAAAGGGGTGGGGCCCGAGGGATTTTAGGGTTCCCAACAGAGCGCCCCCCCACCCAAAAAACTTCCTGCAGTTTTACTCTATGGCTGTCCACTCCCCCAGGAAGACCCTGAGGTCAGGGCCTCTGGTGAGAACAACCGAAATCTGGAGACACTCCAGCCACCACCCGCCACCACCACCCCCCACCGCCCTTTCTGGACACTGAAGGGTCATGAGGCCTGGCTCCTTCTTCTCAGGCCCTCTCCCACCCCCAACATGGATCTTGTCCATTTTCCCTACAAGGTGTCCAGTAGACACTAGTCTGGAGGCAGGGCAGGGTGGGGTGGGGACCTCATGGGCATAGACAGGGGCTGGGGTTTCCCTGTGCTTGGAGGCATGTGGGGGGGTGAAATGAGTCACCGACCGGATGACTCACTGGGTCCCCCTTCCTCCCTCCACCCCAAGAGAGGAGTGGGGTGAGTCAAGATTGTCCATCTCTGGGGGCAGCCCCCAGCTTCTGATCTATCTGAACAGGCAGGGATAGGAATTTTTCACATCCTTGCCCATATGTCCCCAGGGACAGGGCTCTGCGGAGATGGGAGCCAAATTGCTAGTCCTACTCATTCCTGGACTCAAGTCTATCACTAGCCCCCTCCAGGCCCTGGGAAATTCACCAGTCCAGGCCCCCAGCTCCCTCCTCCTTCACAACCAGGCATCTAGCCCCCAGCCTCCTCCTCCCTCAGACCAGAAGTTTGGGGCTCCTAGCCCCCTTTTCCATTAGACCTGGGAGTCTGGACTCAGGCCCTTTCCCTACCAGAATTCAGGCATCTCACCTGCCCCTGTGCCAACAGCCTCTGAAGTGGCTGTCGTCTCCTGAGGTCCCGCTCCAGGCTCCCAACACAGCCATGTCACTCCTCCTGCTGGTGGTCTCTGCCCTTCACATCCTCATTCTCATCCTGCTTTTCGTGGCCACTTTGGACAAGGTAAGCCAACTCGGAGGATGGGGGCCTCCTGTCGCTCTGGCCCCGCCCCCTGGCCCTAGCACTCCCCTGTGAACTCTGCCTTCACCCTACCCTTTCCCCTGACGAGCCCCCGCCCCACACGTTCCTATTAAATCCATGCTTTCCCATGGCACCTTGCCCTTTTCCCAACCCTGCCTAGTCTCCCTGACTTTGCCCTTGGTCCTCTGCCCATCCCAGTCCTGGTGGACCCTCCCCGGCAAGGAGTCCCTGAATCTCTGGTATGACTGCACGTGGAACAGTGACAACAAAACGTGGGCCTGCAGTAATGTCAGCGAGAATGGTGAGGCATGAGGGGCACTGGAGATGGGTCTGCAGAAGGGAGGGGTAACCCCAAGCCTCCTCCCGGGACCGAGGATTGGGAACCCCCCAAGGTTTGAGTGGGCGGGTTATGGGTCCCCATGCTGAGTGACTGAGGCTGACGTATGATGACCCACCTGTCTGGATGGTAGGGGGAAGTATGCTTGTGTTCTAGAGTGAAGTGAAAGTCGCTCAGTCGTGTCAGACTCTTTGCGACCCCATGGACTATATAGTCCGTGGAATTCTCCAGGCCATTATACTGGAGTGGGTAGCCTTTCCCTTCTCCGGGGATCCTCCCAACCCAGGGATTGAACCCAGGTCTCCTGCACTGCAGGCAGATTATTTACCTGCTGAGGTTAAAAACCCTGCTCCCTATGATTTAGGAGTGGAGGCCACATGCTATAGGTTTATGGAATGGGGGGAAAGCTCCCAAGATTCTGAGAAGACAGGATTATGTTCCGTAAGTCCTAAAGAGGCAGGACAGGTGTTCTGAATGGATGGCTGGGACCACGCTGTCCAAGTTCCAATGGGGTGGACCACATTGAGATTCTAAAGAGGTGAGACTGAATCCTTACAAGGTTCAAAAGAAGCAGGGCCAGAAGAAGATGAGTTCTAAAGGGGCAGAGTGGCATCCGCTGAAATTTCTAAGTCAAAAAAGGTGAAAGATTAAATGCTTTTCCCCTAAGAGCAAAGGAAGAATTTCTGCTCTCACAATTCTATACACCGTCATACTGGAGGTAGCCAATGCAACAAGACAAGAAAAAGAAATAAAAGGCATAAAGATGGGAAACTTCGAAGAAGTAAAACTGTCTCGATTCCCAGTGAGCATGTTTATATAGAAAATCCTAAAGAATCTGCAAATGGCTTCTAGAATTCCTAAGGGAATTTAGGAAAGTTACAGGGGTCAAATTTGATATAAGTGATAACTACTGAGTACCTGAGGTTGAATGACTCTAAATGGAAGAACGGTCGGTGGGAGAAATGATGAGCAAGCCGGTGGAGCTGGAACTCTGGACCTGCTGTAACTTCCACTTCTATCTCATTGCAGGCTGGCTGAAGGCAGTACAAGTCCTCATGGTGCTTTCCCTCATCCTCTGCTGTCTGTCCTTCATCCTGTTCATGTTCCAGCTCTACACCATGCGGCGAGGAGGGCTATTCTATGCCACTGGCCTCTGCCAGCTTTGCACCAGTGAGCATGGTTCCCCAGGGAACTGAAAGGAAGGGAGGAGGCCTGTGAGGATAGGGGGAGGGCGGGGGAAGAATGGACACCTAATGAAAGAAAGCAATTCTCAACAACACAAAGACCATCTGAGGTTTTGCCTTTGGCTACCTCTCTGCCCCAGGGACTTAAGGAACTTGTAGTTTTCAGTGTCTCAGTGGTGGTTTGTGGTGTGGGTCTCTGAGTCATGGGGCAACTGGCACTTAGAGCTTCGAGGAGCCAGGGCTGGGGAAGGGGTTGTGGACGAATAATCTAGATCCCAGGGATGGAGGGGGGCTAGCAGGGATAGGTAGCTAATTAATAACACCAGGCTGCTGCTGCTGCTAAGTCACTTCAGTCGTGTCCAACCCTGTGTGACCCCACTGACAGCAGCCCACCAGGCTCCCCCGTCCCTGGGATTCTCCAGGCAAGAACACTGGAGTGGGTTGCCGTTTCCTTCTCTAATGCATGAAGGTGAAAGGTGAAAGTGAAGTCGCTCAGTCATGTCTGACTCTTAGCGACCCCATGGACTGCAGCCTACCAGGCTCCTCCATCCATGGGATTTTCCAGGCAAGAGTGCTGGAGTGGGGTGCCATTGCCTCCTCCGAATAACACCAGGAGAGAACTCTAAATCATAATAGTAGTGGTCTTATAATGTCAACCAGTTGCTATTTCTTGTGGACCGACCTTGTATCAGACACTTCAGGGATTTCTATGTACTTTTTTTTTTTTTCTTCAGGTGCAAAGAGAAAAGTTAACCATAGTTATCAGTTTTGGGGGAGCATTACGTTTCTAGGTTACCTCTTGTTCTATTAATTTACTACCTGTGTGCTTGGATGTGTAAAGCCACTCAGAAATATTCCTTGAATGGATGAGTAGGTATTATCGTCCCATGTAATGGATGAGTAACGGAGACCCAATTTAGTTAAACTTAACTAAACTGTCCATGTCCAGTTTGCAGCAGCCCCCAAGGCGCGGCGCTAGAGGAGTGAACTACAACTCCCAGTAGGCAGTGGTGCTGCGCATTCGCCCTCAGGCGGTTTCTTTGCACCGTGGGTGGTTGGGAAATGCAGTCCCGTTATGTGGGTCCAGCGTGCCATGTGGTTCCCATCTCCCCGCAGGCGTGGCGGTCTTTACCGGGGCGCTGATCTACGCCATTCACGCCGAAGAGATCCTGGCGGAGCGCCCGTCGGGGGGCAGCTTTGGTTACTGCTTCGCCCTGGCCTGGGTGGCCTTCCCCCTCGCGCTGGCCAGCGGCATCATCTACATCCACTTGCGGAAGAGGGAGTGAGGGCTGCGCCTCCCCTTGGCTCCCGAGCCGACTCCCGGCCCCTCCATCTCACCCCCAAGCTCTCACCCCGCCTCCTTTTCTATTTTAAACAGAAAATAAAACTGTTTAACCTCCGGGTCTGCCTCTGGCTCCTTCCTTCCTTCCTCCTCCCGGGACCCTGGCTGCTCACACCTGATCGTTCCTGAATTGGGACAGCCCCCATCACCAGCAGTTCAGCCTTCAGAACGTCGAACTCATCCCTTTCTAATCTGGGACACAGGAGCCCACGGTCCTGGCGGCCCTTCCCCTTCCACAGACCTCAGGACCCCAGTCCTCCTGGTGCAAGACTCAGGATTCCTCCCAGCCTAGATATTCAGGTGCTTCTAGGTAAGAACCAGGCGTCTGGGTTTCCAGCCATCCCTCCTTGACCAAGGGTCTCTCTCTCTCAACCAAGCAGGATGTGTCTTGTTCTAGGTTACTGAGACCTGAGACCCTGAGCTGCAGTGCAGTAAATGCCTGCACCTGGCCAATTAGTCTCCTCCAGTTACAAAATGTAAAGAAACTATGAGGGGCTAAAAATAACTGTGTGCATGCATCTGGGGCAAATTCTGGACAATAAGATACAAACAGACCAAAAAGCCCAACTGCCACTTCCGAAGAGCCAGGAGCAAAAGCAAGGCACTACACACATACACCACCAAGGGGGTGGGCAAACCACCTAAGCCGCCCCTCCACCCCACCCCTGGACACACCCTTACCCTCACCCCATAGAAGGGACCAGCTCGCCCCTCCTTAAGAGAAGTTGTTCTCTCTCCCTCAGTTTTTCCTCTCTATAGCAGAAGCCCCAGTAAAGCCTTGCCTGAACTCCTTGTCTGGCCTCTTATTAATTTCAATTGATTAAGAAGGCCAAGAACCTCATTGGTAACAGTGGTCTTTTTTATCCTCCCTCTGACACTTCCTCTGGGAAGATACTTTTCCATTTCTTGAAACCCAGCCCCTCTTCTTCCCGCATCCTCTGCAAATGTTGCCTCTAGTCCACATGACATCTTAGTAAAAACGAGATGAGATGTCTCCCCCTTCCCTTCTCCAGGCTCGGCCTCACATCGGGACACTTGTGAGAAGAGGAGGCTGGGTTTTAGACCGACCCATCCCCAGGCCGTGTGTCTTTGTGCAGCGAACAATCTGCTCTGTCTCGGGTGTTCAGAAGACCCAGTGTTTTGTGGAGTCAGGTCCTCCCTAAGATCCTCTTCTGTGATGCAGCCTATTTCAGCAATTACAAGCACAGTCTCTCTCCAGAACTACAGCTTTCTTTGCAAGTGTGTGCGTGTTAGTAGCTCAGTTGTGTATGTTAGGATTCTTTGTGACCCCATGGACGGGAACCCGCCAGGCTCCTCTGTCCATGGAACTCTCCAGGCAAGAATACTGGAGTGGGCAGCCATTCCCTTCTCCAGATCTTCCTGCCCCAGGGATCAAACCCAGGCCTCCTGCATTGCAGGCAGATTCTTTATGGCCTGAGTCACGAGGGAAGCTGGAAAAGTGAGTCTCTCAGTCGTGTCTGACTCTCTGCGACCCCATGGACTCTACAGTCCATGGAATCCTCCAGGCCAGAATACAGGCATGGGTAGCATTTCCCTTCTCCAGGGGATCTTCCCAACCCAGGGACCGAACCCAGGTCTTCCTCACTGCGGGCGGATTCTTTACCAACTGAAGTCACAAAGGAAGCCCTAGGGAAGTGGGGGACCCACCCAAATGCATTCCCCAAAGACCCAGAGTCTCTTCTTTCCAGGATTCCAAAACCTTCCTTCTTTCCAACCCCTGCAGCTCCCCGACTCATCCAGATTTATGAAACATGATTTATTCCTTTGGGAGAAGGGATAGGGGAGAAATTGATAGACCAATAAATATTGCACAGGGCACTGGTGGAGGCAAGATCCAGGCCGAGGTAGTTTCTGTAGAAAGGGTGAGGGGCCTGGGCAGCGAAGGCACCTGAGTTTTGTTGTTGGAGCCTGAGTGGATGTGAGCCTTGGTTTCTGGTTCCTCCTGGTCCACAGCTTTCCGCTGGGCACAAAGCTCCAGATCCCTTCAGCCTGGACAAGCTGATTGGCAGTTGACCAAATGGCCTGCCTTATAAGTAGCGGCAATTGATACAAAGAGCAGGTCTCCTTCAGAAATTCTGATTGGTTGCTTCTCTGCAGGGACAACTGGCTGCCCAAGGTCGGTACTGCCTGGCAGCTGTCTCACTGGCAGTTTGCCAGAGGACCGGACTAAAAGGCTCTTATTGGCTGCAGGCTGGAGCTCCGCCTCGGTGAACATGATGGGCATTTTGCCCGGTACGGGCTAAACAGACAGTGATATATGGCCTCCGGAGGGCACAGTTTAACAACTGGGCCTGTTGGTGTGTAGTGTTGCACGGCTGTGATTGGCTGGCCCTCCCTCCTCAGCCAAACTACGTTTAGAAGTTTATGTTGAAAAAAAAAAAAAAGAAGTGTATGTTGAAGGAGGGAGTAAGAGATGGACCAGAAGCAAAGCCAAAAAGCTTTGATTGGCTGTTCATCGGAAGAGGGGCGCCTGGCAACGGCAGGCTGCCTCAGTGGGCGGCTTTGTTTAAGAAAACAGCATAACGGAAGTGGTAACGAGTAATTGGAAGTTGGGGAGTGGCGAAGCATCTTAGCCATGATTGACAGCTTGTCAAGGAGGCGGCGCTTAGTTCCCAACCAGGTGGCTAGGTTGGGCCGGGCCGAGAGGTTTCTCTAAGGAGTTGTCATCGCTCGGTGCGGACTTGGGGGAAGAAATAGTAGCCAACAGGTCTAGTTTGGGGAGGCCCGGGGGCGGGTACATCCCGACGGTGGGGGGCAGGGCTTGCAGGTGGGCCAGGGCCCTCTTTCCGTTGAAGGCCACGTCACAGCCTGACTGGGCTAGAAGCCAGTTCTCCACCTCCGACTGGAGCCACTGGGAGGTCTCTGCTGGGGGAGAGGCAGGTGTTGTGAGGTCAGACAGACCCCAAGGACTAAGAGTGGGCAGCGGGGAGGGTACGGGACGAGGAGTAAGAGGGGTCTGGGTTTGGAAGAAGCCTAGCGGAGTAGGACAGAACCTCGGAGACTCAACGTTGGGGCTCTCATCTGGGGACCAGCCAGGGACTCTTGTTCACGGAGGAGCCATCTGGGCTCTCTAGTAAGGGAGTGTTTGGGTTGGCATATAGGAAGCAGCGGACGGGGGGGTGGGGAGCATACCACAACAGGAGTCTGATCCAAGACTCCTATCACGGTTGAGGTTGAGAGGTCATCCCAGGGAAGGGGCAGGCCCATCGAGATGGGAACAGGGTCAGGGGTCCCAACTGTTGAATCCGGTTCACCAGCGCGAGCCAGGTTTGGGAGGCGGGCATCGTGGGGATGGAGTCTCACTGGGGCAAGGCCATCTGGGACTAAAGGGACTCTCGACTCCATAGTGGCGGGGTGGTTTGTTCCAGGTGGGGCCACGTCTGCGCCCAGCAGTTAGGAAGGGGCGGGCCTATGGGCAAAAGGGCCGCAAGAGACGGGGCGGGACCTAGCAAGTGAGGGGCTGCAAAGGGGTGAGGCCTCTTGGCCCCTGCGGGCCTACCTTCCGGCGGGCGCTTTGCCCCCCCGGGCCGCCGGGCCAGGAAGCTGTGCGCGAGCAGGGCCTCTTTGGTGTGCTCATCCTGTGCGCGCAGGACCAGGGCGCTGAGCAGCTCTGCGTTGTTGGACGTGCTGCGGTAGTAAAGCATGTGCGCCAGCTCCAGCGCCTGCGCGCTGCGCCGATGTCCGAACATCTGCATGCAGGACAAAATCCGGGAGGGGCGGGGCCTGCTGGGACTCCACGCCCCGCCCATACACACATCCCACCCAATCACACACGCACCCATATACAACCCCACCCATACGCACACCCCTAGGTCACTCAGGCAGGTAGGACTCTTCCCAAGGGTTCCCGGGACCTCCGCGGCCCTCTCCGGCTCAGGTATTTTTATGCTTAACCCACACTCTCTCTCCCGTGCCTCGGAGGCCGCTACCCGGGTTTGCTTATCTGAGCCACGTAACAATGGATGTGTCCGAGGATTCACAGACAAGAGTTTTAGCCTGGGCACTTTTCGTTACCATTTTTTTTAAAGTCCTTATCATCTCGACACATACTGAAGTATTTCCAGATGATGTGTGTAGAATTTGCTTCAAAATTATCCAATGGTGGTGGGCGGGGGGTGTCTTTGGGTGAAACCTGATTGTTGTTAATTGTTGATGCTGGGTGCTGACAACAGAGGAGCTTCTCATGCTATTCCATCTCTGCATTTGTTTGAAATAATTTTTTTTAAAGGTCTTAAATATTGTAAAGAGAAGTGTTGTTGTTTAGTTGCTAAGTCCTGTCGGACTCTTTGACCCCATGGACTGTAGCCTCCCAGGCTCCTCTCTGTCCGTGGGATTTCCCAGGCAAGAATACTAGAGTGGGTTGCCATTTCCTTCTCCAGGGGATTTTTCCCAACCCAGGGATTGAATCCAAGTCCCCTGCATTGGCAGAAGGATTCTTTACTGCTGAGCCACCAAGGAAGCCCAAAGAGAAGTGTTAATGGACAACAAACACTCGATGAGCCACTTTCCGGAAAGAAGGGAGGGAGAGGCAGGTCTGGGGCCCAGCTGTCTACTGGCAACCTCCTTCCCTACCCTGCATCCCTCCTGCCTGGACCCCTTTCCTCATTCCTCTTGTCCCCGAGGAGGGAGATGAGAGCCCACCAGTGCTCTCTGGGACTTGCACTCAGATTCATCCACCCAGATTTGTCCTTTCATCCACCAACTGAGTTCAAGGCTGCTGGGTCCTGCAGCCTGCAGGCCTGGATGCCAGTCCTATCTCTGCCCCTCCAGCTGTGAGGCTGTGGCCAAGACCTAAGTCTTCGGGTAGCCCTGTCTGTGAGCCAAGGCAAATGACAGAAGGTACACCAGAAGTTAATAAAACATGGCACAGAAGCTGGCCAGTCACAAGTACTTAAAGATTAGTTATTGAAGTATCTTCTGCCCAAAGAGTGTTGCCCACCCTATGTGGAGACCTATGGTGAAATGCCTCTGAAATGAACACAGCCCTGGAAAATTGCTGAAATGGCCTGCATGGTCCCAATGACACGCTCTGTGTGAACTGCACTCTCTTCTTACAAGGCCAGCACAGTCAGTTTATGTCCCTGCATTGGAACGAATTGCCAATTTCTTTGGTTGGAGGCAACATGCAGGAATTGGGTACGTTTGCAACTGTTATGAAAAATACATTGGGTTGTGTGCCTGTTTCTGCCAGGCTTATGGAGTGGAATTCTCGCAGGTTAAGTGAGCAGGTCATGCCATTCCAAGGCAGACATGTGAGGCCAGACCTCTCCCTGGAGAGAGCTCACCAGTGGCCAGCTGAATGTCCCTCCAACGCTCGCCAAGGCCCATGCTGAGCACAGTGTCTCTCCTTACCCAACTCCTCAGTCCCTCCTTCTTCCTTCCCTGGGGTCTGTATGTGGGGTGGCCCCACTATCTACCCCATCACAGATCAGACCCCTGGCACCATCCTGCCCACTTCTCGCCAGCCTGTCACTCTCTGGCCCCATCCTCCTGCCTTGACTCTCTCTGCCCTGTGCCCTCCCCTCCAACCCACCTAATGCATCACCCAACCTCCTCCCAGGCCTCAGTCTCCCCTACTCCCATCTCTCTGCACAGCCCCAGAACAGACCCTGCCCCTCCCCTGCTCACACCCTCACATGGCTCCCTAGTGTCCTCAGAGACTCCAAACTCTGTGGCCTGGCCCCAGGGATTTCTCCCACTCAATATCCTGCTCCCCTCCCGTGAATGCAGCCCGTGTTGAATGAACCCAGTCTACCCTGATGGTTGCCCTGAGCACACCCTGCTCTCTTGGGCTTCTGGGCCTTGGGACAGGCCAAGTGGTCTCCAGTCTTTTCTTGAAAAACACTCACTGTCTTATCATCAAGGTTCAGGATAGACATCACTTTCCACAGACAAGCAGCTGCATCCCTGGGATCCTACAGGACCCACTGCCACCTTGGTCAGGCACGTGGCTGTCTGTCCATGGGCCCTGCACCTCTCCCCCGAGGGCAGGACCAGCCCTGAGGCATCTCTGGGATGCCAGCTCAACAACCCTTCTCAGGTTGCCCTGCAGGCCTCCCTGGGGAACCAGGACAAGTTAGGAGCCCCCTCAGCCCAGGAAGTCTGGGAGGGTTTTCTGGGGCCTCTGAGATGGCGGTGAGGAGGGGTTGGTCAGCCTAGCAAAAGGATGCATGTGTGCATGCTAAGTCGCTTCAGTCATGTCCGACTCTTTGTAACCCCATGGACTGTACCCACCAGGCTCCTTTGTCCATGGGGATTCTCCAAGCAAGAATACTGGAGTAGGCCGTTGTGCCCTCCTCCAGGGGAGAGTATGTTTCAGAAGTAGGAACAGCATATGCAGAGGGAGAGAAGGGGAGAGAAGTAGGGGTGGGAGGAGCTACAAGCATATTTTGGTGGAGCTGAAGCTGAGAATTGTGTCAGATGAGGCCGAGGAAGCAGCGTCTCTGATGCCAGGCTGTGAGCAAGGGAGGAGCAGGGCTAGCCCAGGGGCCATCGGGGATGGGCTGGAGGGGATCACTGGGTGAGGGAAGGCTAGGAAGAGGGTATGAGCTGGAGCCGAGACAGAGAGGAGATGGGCACAGAGAGCCTGCGGAGCAGAGCACCGGGGGGCAGGAAGGGCGGGCTGAGGACTGACAGGTTGGGGGGCAGGGGCAGGGTAACTTCCAGGGGTCTAGCCAGTGACTTGGGGACAATGAGGCCATCCACAGATGGAGAGCCAGGAGGAGGAGCAGGTGGGAGAGACGCTGTCCTCCACCTGGCTGCTCCAGACTTGAGTGTGGTGCTCCTGCATCTAGGAGGTAGGGGGGAGCAGCTTGTGGAAACCGTGGAAGTGGATGAGCTCTCTGGGGGAGGGGGAGGAAGAGGGCCATGTACCCTGCTGCAAAATCAGCCTCCCAGGTGTTTGATCAGAGCAGCTGTCCCGAGATGCGGAGCTGGGGAGGAGAAAGGGGTTTCAGGGGAAGATGGATGCCTTGTGGGCAGCTGGACGGAGGCCAGGGAGGCCTGCATTTAAGGCACGGAGGGAGTCCCTGGTAGTCTAGAGATTAGGATTTGGCACCTTTGGTGCCATGGCCCGGGTTCAGTCTGTGGTTGGAGAACAGAGATCCGACAAGCCAAATAAAGAAAGAATGAACCTAAGGAGGCTCAGCCTGGGGCATGGAAAAGTGTCTAAAAGGGATCAGTAAATGAACAGGTTGAACTGGGCTTTAAACTGGGTGTCAAAGCCCAAGAGACTCAAGAGTTCTCCACCCCCAAGGGCCACTGAGAGGTGGGACAATGGTCCTCCCTGGGCTGAAAATGCGCATGTCCCCCCCAGACCAGCTCAACACCCTCTCCCTCTGCCTCTCCGCCCTCATCTGTGGTTGCCACATTCCCTCTCTGCTTACAGCCCTTCCGTGGCTCCCCTCTGCCCTGAGGACGAAGCTCAGAGCCCCTGCCTTGGCATTGAAGGCCCTCGCCACCCCTTTGGGGCCTTGCTTCTCCATCCTGCACACCAGACGCCATCCCTGTGGGATTCCCCAGGCTGTGCTCACATGGCCCCTTCTCTACCAGGCTCAATCCCCGCCTTTCAGAGCTTCCTTCAAATGACACCCGACCCCTGGTCCTCGAGCAGGAAGCGCTCCCTGCTCAGCCAGCGCAGCCTGGTTATTATCTGTGGGATTTATTACCAGGCTTCCTAAGAGCCCATTGGGATGGCTGGAAACAGCTTGGAAATCAATGAACCAGCAAGTGAATGATTGGGTACAATGGACAACTCGCTCCAGTTCGCACTCTTGGGGCCAGTGCCAACCCCAGGGAGAGTCAGTAAAAGTCAGCCGCCTCAAGGCAGAGCTCGAGGTTCAGCAAGCAAAGCACAAGTTGGATTCCAGCCCCCATCTGTCCCTTCGCCCATGAATCCTTGGATGATGAACAACCTGCACAACTGGATGAGGCAGCCCTGCATTCACATGTAGCAGAATCAGGAAGGGAGCTTGTTCAAAACACAGGCCCTGGTCCCAGAGTTTGGGGGTGTGGAAGCCCAGACTCGGGGGACAAGAGCCCAATCAGTAATAATAATAATAATAAAGGTAATGGTGAACTCTCATATAACATCTTCTGTACTACGGGCCAGGCTCTGTTTTCCATGTTCATCGTATTAATGCATTTAATCACCACAACAACCCACTGTCATCTCTGCTTTTGAGATGCACAGAGAGGTTTAAGCAGCTTGTTCAAGGTTACATAGCTTAGGACTTCCCTGGCACTCCAGTGGTTAATACTCCACACTTCCACTGCAGGGGGCATGGGTTCGATCCTGCTTGGAGAACGAAGATCCCACATGCCACATGACATGGTTCTCACACACACACACACACACACACACACACACACACACAAGCGAAAAGAATAGGTCACACAGCTAGAAGACAGTGGAACTAGATTCAAACCCAGGCAGTCTTGTTCTAAAACACACCCTTCACCATATCACCAAGTGCCCAGTGAGTGGCTGTGAAAACTTGTGTCTCACTGCCCATGTGCCAGTCCTACACCCAGTGCTCATTACAGATTCACTCATCTCTTCCTCACAACAGCCCTCCTAGGAGGGTCTCGTTATTTATTAAGCCCATTTTCCAGATGAGAAAACCGAGGCTCAGGGAGATCGAGAACCCCTCCCAAGGTTGTGTTGAGTGAATGAGGAAGGGAAAGAAAGCCCAACCCGAAGCAGGAATAATCGACAAAAAAAGAGAAACAAACGGATAGGGTGGCCCGACCTTCTAGCTGATCATTAAAGGGCAGGCTTGGGGGAGGGCGGGTGTCACTTACCTTGGCGGCCCGCAGGCCCATGAAAGCAGCGAAGAGCAGCAGCAACAGGGAGGTGGCCATCTTGAGGTCAGAGAGCACCACCATGCCCACGTTGACAAAGAACGCTACACCCGAGACGATCAGTGTGACGTTGAGGATGGCACGCTGCAGGGTGGACGTGCGCACCTTCAGCTCGGGCAGCAGCTGCTCCAGGCCCTCCAATGGCGTATCCTTGAAGCTCTTCAGCACTAAGTGCCCCTTCTTCGTTCGGGCTGCGAGTATCACCCGCTTAAAGTATCTCCTGATGGCCAGAGATGGAGGGGCGAGGACAGTCAGAACAGCCCCCAGGGAGTCCCCCTCTAACCCTAGGACATTCTCTCTGGCTCTGAAGTCACACCATCATTTTAAAAGCTACTTAAAAATGGTGGGAAGAAAGTCAGATGTAAGCTAAGTGGCCAACAAGAGGGGATCAGTAACATGATGCAATCCCCTATTATTGGACACATAGGTTGCTTCTGATTTTATGGACTTGATAAATGACAGCTGAATAAAAATTCTTTAGTTAATGTTCAAACCAAAATTCTATATATATTTCAGGGTATCTGCTAGGTGCCAAGGAGTGCTATTTAGCTCTGGAGAGACAACAAAATGAGTCAGTCACTGCCTTTGTGGAGCTTATAGTCCAGCACGAGAGACAGATAATTAAGATAATTAAACAGACAGTCTCCAAGTATAAATATCTCCCTGGAATAGATTCCTGGAAGTGGAATTACTGGTTTAAAGGATATGAGAGGCTTTTTGTCTTTGGTTTTTGTCTTTGAATTCGTAACCATGTTTGGTAGTCTGATTTCCAGACGGATTGGGTGACTGACAGGCCCCCTGGCCAACTGTGAGACAATATGGCTCTCCCAACAATATCTGCATTTGACTATGTGCTGAAAACATACTGTTCTTCAGAAACCTGGTGGTACCACTTTTTCAGAGTGTGGCCTTCCCTCTCTGAGTCTCAGTTTTCCTCATTTAGAAAATGGAGATCAATGTCCCTACCCCTTCTCTTCCCCTAAGAATTGCAGCTCTTATTTCTCCTTGGGAAGAAGAGGCAGTATTTCATTGACCCTTTCTCCTTTCTTGACTTCCCACCCAGGTCCCAGACACCCAAATCCAGACACTGACCTGTCGGTCCCCTCTCGACTCTAACCTTGCTCCCTCTTGTTGCAGCTGGGGAACAGGGGCCGCCTCACCTCTCTGCAGGGGGCGATTTGAAGAAGACACGCTTGGAGCCCACGCTGGACTTACGGGGCATCTTCCCAACTCGCTGGCCCAAGGCCCAGAAATGCATGTAGATATACTGGTCCAAATTTACTGTCACCTGCCAAAGGGAGGGAGAAGGAAGCAAAAGCAGCTGAGCATAAGCCACGGTGTGAATGCAGGATACTAGAATTACATGCCTCACCCCCAGTGATCCTCTGCCTCCCTATCCACTTCCCAGACTCATCATCATCCAGTATGTAGGCAGACAGCCATGTATGGTTGTTCATGTTGTACACTGCACAAGGACACACCATCCAAGAAGGCACCATCCACATCATAGTCATCTTTATGACCATATTTCCTAGCATCTATAATGCCACTGATTTTAAGGTACTCTATCATTTTATGAAGCAACTAAAAGGGAAAATATATTGTTAATTAAACTATGCAACAGGGGCTTCCCTGATAGTTCAGTTGGTAAAGAATCCACCTGTGATGCAGGAGACCCCGGTTCGATTCCTGGTTGGAAAGATCTGCTAGAGAAGGGATAGGCTACCCACTCCAGAATTCTTGGGCTTTCCTGGTGGTTCAGCTAGTAAAGAATCCACCTGTAATGCAGGAGACATGGGTTCGATCCCTGGGTTGGGAAGATCCCCTGGAGAAGGGAAAGGTTACCCACTCCAGTATTGTGGCCTGGAAAATTCCATGGACTGTATAAGTCCATGGGGTCACAAAGAGTCGGACACAACTGAGTGACTTTCACCTTCACTTTTCAAACTATGCCACACTACTGCTTGTAAGTCACAATCCAATTTCAGAGACAGTAAAGTCTCTGAAAAAAGCACATCTTAAAATCACCAAAATGTGGTGATTTTAGTATTTTGGTTATAATACTACAGTATTTAGTATTTTGATTATTAGTATTTTGTTGACTTTTTCTTTTGGCTGTGCCATGCGGCTTATAGGATCTTAGTTTCCTCACCAGGGATTGAACCCAGGCCCCAGCAGTGAAAGCGCTGAGGCCCTCACCACTGCACTGCCAAGGGATTCCCATATTTTGTTGACTTTAATGGTGAGTATTTTGTATTATTCATTATAGTCAGTCCTCCATAACTGCAGGTTTCACATCTGTTGATTCAACCAACTATAGGAGTGAAAAAAATATTAATTCCAGAAAGCAAAACTGGAATCTGATGTGTATCACTAACTCTTTTACACAGCATTTACATTGTATTAGGCATTACAAATAATCAGAGATGACTTAAAGTATGCAGGAGGATATGCATAGGTTATATGCAAATACTATGCCATTCCATAGAAGAGACTTCAGCATCCGAGGATTTCCATATCCTCAAAGGCACTGGACATTACCAAAGGATAGCTCTCTTAATAGTTTTCAGGCAGATGGTGATAGAGTCTCTAGTCCTAAGAAGACCTGTATCTTATGATGCTTTTCCAACAGGTGGCAGTGAAGTGACCTGAGAAGAGGCACCTTTTTCTATTTCACCAAAGGTGCCACATGGGCTAGTGTTCAGGACTACAGCTCCCAGCAGCCTCTGCTTCCCAAAGGCTCCACCCCCGCCCAAGGTCTCCTGGGAGTTTGGGTTGTTTTCTGGAAGACAAGCACCTGGACCTCATCCTGAGGGTGATGGACCACCAGAGCGTAGGCCAGGGTGTCCTCCGTGAGTGGGGAGAAGTTGGCCTGGGCCAGCAGGGGCTCCAGGGCCTGAAGCACTTCCTTCTCGCTGGACAGACGCTGAGGATCTGTAAGTGAAGGCTGGTCAAGAGTCTCCCTGTCGGGGTTGATTGGGTCATACAAGGCCTGAGGAGAGTCAGAGAGAAGAAAAAGGGACTAGGTCAGAGCGTGACGGATTTGGGGTACACGTAAGGATGTTCCTGGCCCCATATTTTAAATAATGGGTTACCCCAAGGCTTGATTTGGGACCCGCTTTCCGTCTCTCTCCTCAAGCTCACAACAAGTTGCCTCACCATCCCCACAGCCTTAAACACCACCTCCATGCAGACAACTACCCAACTCACATCTCCAGCTCGGACCTCTCCTCTAAGTTCTAGACCTAATATCCATTTTCGGTTTGTGGGGATGCTTAGTAGTAGTAGAGTAGCACTTCGCCTTCCCCCACAGTACAGAGAAGAAGGTGGTGGTAGGACTGCCCAGATAGACTACATTTCCAGCCTCCTTTGAGGCTGGGTGTGGCCTGGGTGTGGCCTGGGTGTGGCCAGGAGAATTCATCTGCAGAGCGTGAGCAGAAGTAACAGATACACCTTCTCCCTCACTTCTTGCCCCTCCTGCACTTTCCACTCTTTCCTTGTTCTTAACAGCTTAGAACGCTCTCCTGCCTACAACCAAGTTCTGAGCCCACAGAGATGAAGACGGGGCCCTCAGGGGATGGCAGAGCAACAACATGGAAGGAACCTGGGTCCTGGCATCATCTCACGAGGAACAGAGCTGCTCAGCTACCGTGGCCCACTTACCACAAGGCTGTTAAATGGGAGAGGAAGAATCCTCCACCTTCTTTAAGCCATTGCCTTGTGGGATCTGCTTGTTACAACAGCTAAGCCTTTATAGGAACTAATATAAACTCTTTACCTGACATTTCTTTGGGATGTCACAGTTGCCTCAAATCCAACATGTCAAGCCCACATCCTCCCATCATCATCTTCCAACAAAATAACCATCCTGGATGCCCCCTCCCAAAGCTATTGCTCCCAACCATCCCTGGCCTCTCCCCTGAGCATCAGATTCTCATAGTCAGTTATGTCTTTGACATCTCCAGTTGGATGTCTAATGGCATCTAAGATCTAACATGACCCAAGGAAAATGCGCCATTTCTTCCTCCTCCCCTCCTCCGTCTTTTCCTTTCAGGAAATGGCACTGTGATCCATTCAGATGCTCTGATCAGGAACCCTGGAGGCATCTTTGATTCCTTTCTTATCATCACCCCCACATCTGATCCTTTACAAATTCAACAGACTCTCCGAATTGTTCTGGACTCTACCTTCCTTTCCATCCCCTGCCTTCTCGTCCCAGCCACCATTGTCTAGTACCTAAACAGGTGCATCGGGTTTCCGCTCTCCCACCATGATCAAACCAGTCCCCATGTGGCTGTCACGAGGAGCTTACTGAGATTATAAACAGACCCTATCCCTCCAGTGGCTTCTCACAGCATTTGGAATAAAATCCAGACTCTTTCTATGACCTTCAGTGTCCCCATAGAACTGGGTAAATGCCCTCTCCATCTCATCTTATGCACCCATCAATGCCGTCCAAAATTGTTGACTGACTGAATGAATGAATGAAAAAAAAGAGCTAGAGACTTCCTGGTGGTCCAGTGGTTAGAACTCTGTGCTCCCAATGCAGGGGGCCCAGGTTTGATCCCTGGTTGGGGAACTAGATCCCACATGCCACAACTAAGAGTTCACATGTCACGACTAAAGACCCTGAGTGTTACAACAAAGATGGAAGATCCTGCATGATGCAACTAAGACCCAGCACAGCCAAATAAATAAATATGTAAAAAAAAATTTTTTTAAAGAGCGAGCTTCCAGGTGGCTTGCCTATTTGTTCACAGACAGATGAAGTTTCAGGGTGACATATAATGTGTCCCAGACTATCCAACAAGCCACAGAGGGAAGCACCCCTCCATAAAACCAGTCCATAAACCCCACCCTCTGTGTGTCTCTCAGGAGAGGCAGCCTTAAGGAACAACACATCAAGGTCAGGGGAACCTTTTGTTAGTGGAAGGAAACCAGTAAGGGAGTATTCCAAGTGGGAGGAATGGCCTGCAAAGGTTTGGAGATGGAAAGTCCAGCGTCTCCGAGACAATGGAGCCGAGTGTCTGATGTAGTAGAGAATCGAGCCCAGCAAACCTTCATGTGAACTAACTCCAAGGGCCGGCTCGTGCTGGCCCAGAATAGGACTGGGGCCCAAAGCTAAGGCCTGTGTCCAAGTCCTTCCAGCCAGGCTGACAGAGCAGGTCCCATGGGCCATGGTCTCAAATTCACGGAATGACCTTGAGAAATGCCTTTCCCGGGGCTGAGCTGCACTTTGAGAGGGAGGGAATCTCAGAGCTGGAGGAGAGAGAAGTGCATTCATCTAACGTCCGCTGCGAACCAGACTCTCTTCTGGGAACTTCACATCCGCCCAGGGCTTCCAGCCAGAAACCTGGATATGGTGGGTGACCCCTGCTGTTCCCTTTCCTCGCATGATTTATTAATCACGATGATTCCACCTCCAAAACAGAGAGCCACTCTCCTGGGCTCTCTCCTCCCCACCAGCCCTGCCCAGTCCACACCACCATCGCCTTCTCCTGGATGAGTCTGACAGCCTCCTCAAGGGCCCCTCCAAACCCCCTTGCCTCCCTCCTCTCAAGACCACTCTCAAGCCCGCGGTGTCCCAAAGGGGGTCCTGAAACTCCTCCCCAAACCTGCTCCCCCTCGCCCCCATCTTCTCCATGTCAGAGAAATGCATTCTTCCAGGTGCTTAGGCCCAAAGCCTCTGGTCACCCCGGACTCCTCTCTTTCTTCAACCCATCAGCAAATCCTGATGGCACCCATTTAAAACAGATCCAGGATCCGACCACTACTCATCTCCTGGGCAGTCGTGGTGGCTTCCGCGTCAGTCTCCCGGCTCCCACCCTCACCCCAGTCTGTTCCCGGCAACGCCACCAGAGGGCGCCTTTTGTAACAGAAGTCAGCTCACGTCTGCTCACGGAGAGCTGGTCCCTGGCTCTCCCCTCACTCAGAGTCAAAGCCAGGTCCTCACTGCGTCCCGTGGGCCCGGAAGGATCTGGCCACGGGCCCCTCTCTGGCTTATCTCAGGCTTTGCCCCTTCACTCACTCACCTCTAGCCCCTCCTACACACCACCACACTTCAGCTACCGGGCCTTTGCACTCACCTTTCCCACAGATCTCCACGTGCCTCACTCTGGCCTCTTTCAGGCTCAAATGTCACCCGCTCAGTGAGGCCGTCGCTGACTACCCCACCTAAAACTGCAAAAAAAACACCTCTCCTTTCTTTTTCTCCTTAATTAGGGTTACCAGATTTAGCCAAAAATAAAATAAAATACAGGACACCAAGTTAAGTTGCATTTCCAGATCAACAATAAATAATTTTTCAGTTTAAGTATGTCCTGTGCAATATTTGAGGATTGTATTTACATGGACATCATTCTACTTAAAAAAGAAAAAATTTTCATAGCTTATCTGAAATTCAAATTTCACTGGGTTTAGAGGGTTGAAGAGTGTCCCCTAAAAATTCCTGTCCCCTGGGAACCTCAGAATATGACCTCATTTGGAAAAAGGGTCTTTGCAGGTATAATTAAGGTATCAAAGTGAGACCATCCTGGATTAGGATGGGCCCTAAATCCAACGAGAGTGTCCTTATAAGAGACAGAAAAGGACACACAGAGAAGAAAGTGACGTGAAGATGAAGACAGAGATTAAAGTGATGTGTCCACACACCACAGACTGTTGGAAACCTGGAAAAGAGCATAGGATGGGTCCCTTCCTCCAAGGCTCCAGAAGAAACTAACCCACCAGCACTTTGATTTTGGACTTCCAGCCTCCTGAACTCTCAAAGAAGAAATCTCTTATTTTAAGCCATCCAGTGGATGCTCATTTGCTATGGCAGCATTAGGAAATGAATAAGCTGGGTGTCCTGTACTTTATCTGGCACCCTATCTGTGGTACTTAGCACATCTTAACATATTTTACTTCTTTACCTTGAGGAGGGTGAGTCTGTCTCACTAGCACGTGACGCCATGAGGCAGATACACAGGCTCACCACTGAGTCCTGGGGCCTGGAACCATTCCGGGACACGGTAGGTGCTCAGTAAACATGCACTGAGTGAATCCAATGAATGAATGCATAAGGGAAAGGAGGCCCAGAGAGAGGTCACCTGCCAAGGTCGCCCTCACTCCTAGTGAATGACAAAGCTGGCGTCTGAACTGGTGCTCTTCTTGTTCTCTGCCTGCTCCAAAGTGCTTCCTCAAGGGTCTTAGGTCATCAGCAAATGGTAACCCAGTGTGTCTCACTCACCTCTGATGCTTCTACCCACCCTCTCAGGGTCTCCATTTAAAATCTGCTGCCTCGGGACTTCCCTGGTGGTACAGTGGTTAAGAATCTGCCTTGCAGTGCAGATGTGGGTTTGATCCCTGGTCCGGAAACTAACCTATATGCCACAGAGCAACTAAGCCCATGAGACAAAACTAGGGTGCCTCAATGAAAGATCTCACATGCCAGTTAAGACCCAATGCAACCAAACAAATAAATAATAATAAAATAAAATATGCTGCCTCAGTGAGAATGTGTGTCTTTGCTGCATATTCTTTCTTTGTTTCAATATAGTTAAACGTGTGTATAATAACATTTTAAAATAACTTTCTAATGAAAAAGAACCCTGTCTCCAGAAGCCACAGATGCTCCAGAAAAGAGCTTGGAGGCCAGCAGAAAGGAGCACAAATCTTGGCTCTGCCACTTGGGACCTGCCTCATCTTGGGCTCAATGGGACCGTCTTGGAGCTTTGGTTTCTTCTTCTGCCAGTGGGGCTGCTGGCAGCTACTTAGTGCTGCAGGAAGTTGATGAGCTTGATGCAGAGGGGCCATAGCTGCTACTCATCAAAGCAAGGAGGGGAGCTATGGGGGGCAGGGGCAGTAAAGGGTTAATTCAGCAGGCCTGAGGTGTCCAAACCTTGCACATTCCAAAGACCTGGCCCTTGAAGGGCTCCTGGGAGAGAATCTCTAAGTACTCACTCCCCAGGACTCAGTTAATGCCCCTGGTGGTCATGCAGGTTGTACTGTCTAGACCCTCCCAGGACTGTTTCTTAGCCCAGCCTCCTTCCTTGACTTTCAGCCTATGGGCATTGAGTCCATCTCTCTGCCCAGCTGTCTAAGAGGCAGCTCAAATTTCTAAGTCTAAACTGAGCTCTCAGTCTTCCCTGCAGACCTGTCTCTGCTCTGCTTTCCACATCTCATTCTCAGTAAGTGGCAGCCGGATCCTTCAGGAGGTGCGGGCATGAACTGCTGGAGGCCCCCCGCGACTTCTCTCTCCCTCAAGGCCCCGCCCACTCAGCCAAATGCTGATGCCTTCCAACCATTACAGGCGCCTGACCACTTTTCACCACTTCCACTGCTATTACTCTTGTCTGAGCTGCCATTATCTCTTACCTGGACAAACATAATAGATTCTTTAATATATCTCCCTGCCTCTGATGGTCTGCTCCCTGCTGAGCAGCCAGAAGAATCCTATTAACACCCGAATCAGTTCATGACCTGCATCTGAGCTGAACCCTCCTGCAGCAGCTCCCAGCTCGCTTACATAAAAGCCACGTCTTCAGCACAACCCACGAGGCCAGGCACAACTCCCCCTCACTCCCTCTCTGTTGTCACCTCCTGCCCTCTTCACCTCCAGCCAGTAGTTTCACTGTCATTCCCCTAACACTCCAGGCCCTCACACCTCAGGGCCTTTGCAATTGCTTTTCTCTTGAAAAAGAGAACATTTTCTCAACGTTTTTTCTTGAAAAAGAGGACGTTTCTACCTGAAATGTCCATCCCCAGACACCTGTTGAGCTCACTGCCTCAGTTCACTCAGGTATTAGCTTATTTGTCACCTCCTCAGAGAAGCCTTCCTTGACCACCCTGTCTAAATCAGGCCCTTTTCTCGTCGCTTTCTATCCCAACTTCAATTGCACTTACCATTCCTGGGTGTCATATTTTACATTTTTTGTTTTCAATTTGGCCACACTACATGGTGAAGAGCAGACTCATTGGAAAAGACCCTGATTCTAGTATAGACTGAGGGCAGGAGAAGAAGGGGGTGACAGAGGATGAGAAGGTTGGATGGCATCACCAACTCAATGGACATGAGTCTGAGCAAACTCCGGGGGAACAGTGATGGACAGGGAAGCCTGGCGTGCTGCAGTTCATGGGGCCACAAAGGGTCAGACACAACCAAGTGACTGAACAACAGCAACATGGCATGATCTTAGTTCCTTCACCAGAAATTGAACCCGCAGCCCCTGCACTGGAAGCTCAGAGTATTAACCACCGGAGCACCGGGCAAGTCCCTTACATTTATTCATTTATCATCTTCCCACCTGGAATATCAGCTCCAGAAGGGCGTGGCCTCATCTGTTCTGTTCACTGCTGCATCCCTGATGCTTAGAAGAGGGCTAGACTCCAAGTAAGCACTCAGAGAATTTTTGCTGAATGAATGGATAAGCAAACAAGGACAACAGGGCCACAGGGTCCCCGTTCTCACCTGCAGCTGGGTCAGGACATGATGGTAGTGAAACAAGGTACAAAAGTCCACGTGGGCTGTGAACTCCTCCAAGGCCGCCTTCTCCGCAGGAGTGGAATGGAACTCCTGTTACCTCGGGAAGCAAAACATCTCTTTAGGCCTCTCTCTCCTTCCTCTTGGTGGGGAATTCTTTCCTGAGTAGCCCAGACAGACAATCAGAGCTCTGGGCTCTTTAAAATTTTGTGGGTTTTTTTGGAGGGTGTGGAGAGGGGGAGAGGACTGATCAATTTCACTGAAAGAAACTGAGGCAGCCCTGAAGAGTGAAAAAAAGATGGCTTAAAGAGCTAGGGTTTCAAGTTACCACTCTGATACTTACTGACAGCAGTCACACAGTGCTTATTTGTGTGCCAGGCACTGTTTGCTGGCATGATCTCATCCTCCAGAGGACGCAAGGAGGCTGATGGAATTATAATCCTCATTGTTCAGAGGGGACACCTAAGTTTAGGAAAGTCACTTGCTGAGGGCCACACTGTCCATAAAAGAGAAGCTGAGACTCTAGACCAGGCCTGGTCCAGAGCACACATATTTGGCCACTATTTTAGCCTTCCTACCTCAGTGCCCTGGGTGAGTGCCATCCCCTCTCTGAGTCTGTTTCCTTATTGGCAACAGAGGATCACACCCTCTTTCTGAAAAAACCAATAGTGACAATTTGATGTGATTACATGTGTCCGTATACCTACATGTGTGTTTATGTGGGTGTACATATACTTCTGTATATGGATAAAGCCCAGCACAGAACTTAGGCCATACAGAGGCATTTCAGCTCAGTTCAGTCACTCAGTTGTGTCCAACTCTGCGACCCTATGAACCAAAGCACGCCAGGCCTCCCCGGCCATCACCAGCTCCTGGAGTTTACCCAAACTCATGTCCATTGAGTTGGTGATGCCATCAAGTAATAATTATTAAATGAAGGAATGATGATAAAGAATAATCACAAGTATGATGGTGAGAGTGGGGTAAGAACTTGAGCTCTTAGGATGGAGCAAGTATCTACTTGCCTCACCCTGATCCCCACCCTGCTCTACAGTCAGTGCACTTTGGTTCAAATCTGAGTCACTAGTCATGACCTTGGATGAGCACTGCCCTTCTCCTGCTTTAGTTATCGCCGTTTAAAGTGGGAATGATGGTGGTACCTCTTACTGGGTTGTTCACTATTCAATAATACATGGAAAATGCTTAGCACGGTGCCATATAATAAGAGCTCAGTGTAATATAACTTCGTTGGTACAATAATTATTATTAGGTAGTAGTCATTGTAATGACGAGGATGAAAATCATACCGGTTTTGTAGAGGGTAAAACCAACCCCCCACGTGAGTGCTTGTTCAAGCCCCCCAAAACGAGCTAGAGTCTGGAATCGCTGCTTCATCTACATCTCGGTGGTCAGTCCCCAGCATTCCAACTCACTCCTCGCCCACCTGGGCCTATAAAGGGTAAAGGAACTACAATTCCCAGGGGGCGCCAAGGCATCCTTCTATAGCTGGAAGGGCTGTACCGCCGCGAGGCCTGCCGGGATTCGTAGTCCCCAGGCTCTTGGACCCGGGACGGGCGGTACCTGTATCAGGAGGCGGAGCAGCTGCTCTTTGGAGAACGGGATGTACCGTTCGCGGTACTGCTGGGCCCAGTCGCGGGGCTCCGTGGGGTTCCACATCTTGCGGTACTCCCCCATCTTGGCCGCCAGCGATGACAGGGCCCGGGGGTGACCGAGGAACGAGGGCAACAGAGGCCATACTCGGACACTGGATCCCCAGACCCCTCGGGTCACATGCAGCATGGCTAGACCCTTTCCCCGCAGCCTAAACGAGGGAAATGAGGAGAGGTCAAAAGTCATCTGGAGGAAAGGTGCCCCCTCCACCTCTGCGTCCCAACTTCCAGGGGCCGTTTCTACCCCAGGCAGAGGGTAGAGCCCATCCACCCGCCTCATAGGCCCTCCTGTCCATCCCCTCCCACACTATTCAGTTGGCCTGAGCCCCAGGCAGGAGTTTGGGGGGAGTGTTTTGCGGGCCCAGAAGCCCTATGGTGACACAACCTCTGCGGGGTCTAGGCGTCATGTGAATCTTAAAGAGTATAGGATATGCTCGGAAAGCTACATAGAGCCTGCAGGGCCGCCCACCCCCGGCCATGCAATCTTTCACCCTTTCCCTCACCTTTAGGCAACGCCCGACTGTCATTGAGCCTCCTACGCATGTGCAAAAAGGCGCCCTGGGCCTCCGAGGTTCGGCTTCAAGCCCCCGTACGACGCATGCGCAATGCTTGGGTCATCGGACGGAGTCCATTTTCTTCTAACGCCCAGTCGCGACTACGCATGCACAGTCTGCCTGGCTTGCTTCACGCGCTTTCCTCGGACTCGGCGCATGCGTTACAGAAGTATCTCCTTGTCCACAAGCTTCAAAGGGGAAGAGGCGGGGCGGGCGCGAGACTCCGGGGACTACTGGGACAGGAGCAGGGATTCCCGTGCACAGCCCGCCAACGGCGGGCCGCCCAACGTCCGCTGAAGCCACGCCCCCGCTCGTGTCAACTCTAGAATAGGCGGGGGGATTGGGGCGGGGCTTCAGCGCAGCCAATCAGCTGTGGAGGAACGAAAAGGCGGGAAAAAGAGGAAGAAAAAGAAGGCTGAGGTGGTGCCGGGGACCAGGAGGGCAGGGTGGGCGGAAGGAAGATCCGGCCTGCAGGTGACGTAAACCGGGCCTCCAGAGTAAGGCTGGCCCTTTATCAGGCAGCATCACCCCAACCCTCACCACCCCCACTCCACGCCTTAAAGGAAGAACCCCGATTCTCTGAAGGTAGCTTAACGCCAGGGGCTCGGCCTCCTTATTATGAGGGGACAGCTGAGTTCAGAGACCATGTTCCCCACACATCTGAGGTCCAAACTTGAGGAAGTGCACTTTTATGAAGATGGAGCTGAATTCTAAGGGGAGGCCCTGATTCTAAGGCAATCACCCCAAATCACCAGGACAGCCTAAAATCTACCCTGAGGTGCCTGGGGTCTCCACTATGCGTGCTGTTGCCCCCAAATCTGAAAGGGATCCTCCTGTTTTCAGACCTTTCAGGTGTTCTGACTGCCATTCTAGCACCCCTTATCCCTCAAAAATCCCCTTAACACAGTCCTTAAAATGGGCACTCTGGCTCCTGTGTCAGAGACATCACCCCAGTATCCTACCCTCTCACCTCTCCTTCTCCCTGGCCCAAGTCTCCCCACCCTGCCCCTCCACTTCTGGGACTCTGGAAGCCCCCTCACCCCACATCCTCCTCAGCCTACATTCCTAGTTCCTAAGATCCTCAGCAGCCCCCTCACCCCTTACCCCACTTTGGAATTCTCTGAAGCCCCCTCAGCCTGCACCCCAACTCATAGGACCATCGAGCCACCCTTTCACCCTGCGCCCCCACCTGGAGGTGGGGCTTCCTAACAGCTCTTTCACTCCATGCACCAATTTCTAAGAACCCTGCAGACCCCTCACCCCACATAACCCTGTCCTGGGACCCCAAGTACCCTCTCTCATCCCATATCCCCTTCTCCGGGACCCTTGGCAGACCCCTCACCCCACCGAACCCCATCCTGGTACCCTCCCCAAAACTCCTCCATCCCATACCCCCTCCTCCTGGGACCCCTGGCAGCCCCTTTACCCTGCAGCTTGGACTCTAACCAACCCCACCATCCCTGTTGTCTTGCAGCAGCCGAGCCCCAGGGTGGGCCTGGAACCTCCAGACGGCGGCGCCAAGCCGGCAGAACCCAGCATCCCTGCTCTGGCCTCCCAGGGCCCGGGCAGCAGAACAGCCGCCATGCATATCCCGGAAAGCCTCCAGGACCTGGCCGACAGTGAAGCCGTGCAGTTTCTCAAGAGGCCAAAGATGATCACACGGATCTTTGCAGGGGTGAGGCCCTCCTGTGGGCCGGATGCCCTGTGGGTGACAAGAAACAGGGGTTCTCACCTCTCAGACCCAGTATACAGAGAGTGGTGGGAGGAAAGGAAGGGCCAGCTGGGGGGAACAAAGCCAAAAGGAACTTGTAAATGAAGTCACCCTTTACTGATCATCTTTACTATAGGCCCTGCACTATTCTGAGCACTTATCAACTCTCCTGGGAAGAAAGAACCCCACAAAGTGGGTGCTCAGGAGCCCCACTTTTGAGAGAAGAAAACTGAGGATCAGAGAAAGTTAAATAATTTTTTTAAGGCTGTGCTGTCCAAGGGGGTAACCATAAGCCACATGTGACTATTCTAATCTAAACTAATGAAAATAAAATATTCAGGGACTTCCCTGATGGTCCAGTGGTTAAGACTCCGTGCTTCCAGTGCAGGAGGCCGGAGTTCATTCCCTGGTCTGGGAACTAACATCCCACAGTCTGCATGGTGCAGCCAGGAAAAAAAAAATTTTTAATTCCCTAGTCACAGTGGCCACATTTCAGGTGCTCAATAGCCACATGTGACTGGCAGCTCTCATATTGGACAGTGAGAATCTAGAACATTTCCATCATGGCAGAAAGTTCCAATGGACAGTGTTGGCTAAGATCACACAGTAAGAGGCAGGGACTCAAACTGGGTTCTGTGAGAACAGAGCCCATTCATTTTCCACCTCTCAGACCTAGGATGCCAGGGGGGTGGGTGGTCACTCTGTGCCAGGCACGGTGCCAAGCAAGGACTTTACCTGCATTTGTTTCATCATTACCTCATTTCCAAAGAGCCAACACACTGGGGGCAAATCCTCATTGAGCCCCTGACTTTGCTGTGTGACCTTGACCTGATCACTGCCCCTCTCTGGACCTCAATGCTTGAGGAGTTAGAGCTGTAACTCTGGGCTTTACACTGTGTAGCCTCCATGGTGCTCCTTTGGCAGAGTTGGGAACTGAGGCCCAGGGAGATGATGAGACTTGATCTGGGTCAGGGGAGTAGGGGGAATATCCAGAATTGAACCCAGGGTCCTATTCCAGAAGGATCGATCAGGCCTGGCTGAGAATCCTAGTTTGGCCACATGATGTCCACATAGAGCAACATCCTCCCCTGCTTGCCTGGCTCAGTCCTGGTGTGATTATCAACAGCACCTCCTTTGAGTCTCAGAAGTGCCCCATTTTATTTAATAACTTGCCCAGTCACTCTAGGGCTGTGTGACCTTGAACAAGAAACTTGATTTCTCTGAACCTCCACACCCTCCTGTGTCTAGTCCTTCCTGCTCATCAGGAAAGACTATGTCCAAATGAAATTAATGCCTCTCAACTGATCAGCATGGGCCTGGCAAAGTAGTCATCGTTCCTTCAATAGCGATGATTACTGGGACCAATTTGTGATCAAGCAGAGAGATGGGTTGGGGGAGGCATAGGGTGGTGGGGGCTCATCTCCATCGTCATCCCCCCAGGGAAGCAGGGAAAATGCCTTCCACACCCCAGTTCCCAGTTCCTTGGTGGTGTCAGCATTTCCACTCCTCACCATGACCCTATGACGTGTATATTGTGATGCCTGCTGGACCCAAGGGGAAACCAGGGCTCACAGAGGTTGAGTGACTTGCCCAAGGACGTCACCCAGCTGGCGGGCGAGTACCAAGGATGCACAGATTTCCAGTGCTTCAGAAGGAAGGACAGGAGGTGAGGGAGAAGGAGCCCCAGCTGGTGTGGACTGGTGTGGGGAAGGGCTGGGGGGAAGGGCCGCAAACCGTGCCAGACGCTTCAGTCACAGACTTTGCTTGCCGCCTCCCTCCTCCCGCCTGCCGCCCTCTCCTCGTCCCCCCCTGGCCTGGCTCCTCAGTAGGGAGTCTCTGGGCAGCTGGTGCTCTCGTCCTTTCACGGCCGCCCGCCAGCTGGTGCCTTAACTGATGAATCTTTGCTCCCTCCCTGGGGACAGGCCAGGAAGGGTGTGGAAGGAGGTCGGACTCGGGCTTCAGAGGGTTGAAGTCCCTCCAGCCTAGCCAAGCCCCCTTCTTTGGTATCCAACAGCAGCCCAAGGATTTGGGGTTGTCAGCGGACAGACAGCCCACAGACCCGGAAGTCAGGGGGGCTGGATTCCAATCCCATCTCTCCATGACTAACCTTGAGAGGACACGTCTCCTCTCTGGCCAGTAATGAGAATTACCTTTAGGGCCAGGTCCCCACCTCTTTGGGGCACAGGACAGACAGGGAAACTGAGGTGCCAAGCGGTGAGGAGTTGGCCCAAGGCCACCCAGCAGGTGGGGTCAGACACGTCTGGCTCTTTCCACTGCGCCATCAAGGCTTCTATTTATCACCTGTGAAACAGCAATGAATTATTATTGTAACCTAAAGTGTGCGGGACTGGAGCGAGGCTGCAGGGAGGTGGCGCAGGTAAAATGTATCTGGGCTCAAAAATGATCAATGAGCCTTCCTGTCCTTCCTGGCTCTGTCTCAGACCAGCAGGGCAAGACACCCCCCTCCTGCAGACTCAGTGCTGCAGCCCCAAAACGGAATGGATGTGAATACCCTCCCTTCGAGCTAAAGTGCTGGACAAAAGGAGGGACTCGTCATTATTATTGGGCTTCCCTGGTGGCTCAGCGGTGAAGAACCTGCCTGCCAGTGCAGGAGACTCAGGTGCAGTCCCTGGGTCGGAAAGATTCTCCGGAGAAGGAAGTGGCAGCCCACTCCAATATTTTCACCAGGGGAATCCCATGGACAGAGGAGCCTGATGGGCCAAAGAGTCAGACATGACACAGCAACTGAAAAACAACAAAGACATTATTATTATTTTGTTTGTTCTTATTCAGAGAAGGCAAGTAAGACAAAGGAGAGAGGCAGATGGACAGAGGCTGAGGAGTTTAGGGTCAATCCTTGCCTCC